GCGTCGTCTTATATTGCCTATGCTACGTGAAAAAACTAGGGCGTTGTGAGAAACGTGGCGCCCACAATAAAGACAACTTCCTAGCGGCAAAATTTCTAGGACTATTACATACGTGTGAAAATCACGATTTTATGAAAGCTTTGATTTTGAAATCACGTACTTGGCTTAGATAATAACTGATAATAAATTAGTAGGAAGTTGCAAAGGAAATCGATAAACGATCAGCGTTTCAAAACTCATTCAATGTTTTGGTCGGTTAGGGGTTAATCGACTTGGGGGTTAATCGACTGGCAAACTGGTTGTAGTGTTTTTGTAGTGTTTTTTGTAGTGTTTTTGAGAGTGACAGGGATTTGGTGTGTCACAAAACACAAACCGCGGTGATAAACATGGAACCGGCAAGAGCCACCCCGTGGCCGGCCCTGGCCCTGTACTCTCCCTTTGTCGGGCTCTGTAATGCATGATGGGTAAATTCAATATGGCGTCGCGAGCGGAGCGGAGCGGAAAAGGATGAAATGTCCCAAAATGTGAATCGATAGTAAGACACGGCGCACGGCGGCTAAGGTACTTTTATACGATGCTTTGACCCTATGCCTTCTTCTTGGTTTTTGATGACATATTGACACTTGTGGATTGCTGTTTAGTGTTTATAAGCACTTGAAAATCTCGCATTTGAAAAACCTGGAAAAACACTTGACGATTGTTTGAAAATTAATTTGAGAGCAGGGTACTGTTCGGTAGAGTGTATGTGATCATGGTCTCTTGGTGTAACAAATCAATTAACACCTGGCTTATTTAACTGTTTTAACAAGTTTATGTTTCGTTCTCCAGTAAGCTATTTTTGTTGTTGTTGTTGATGTAACCCTAGGGAGTTGCACGCAGCCATGGCAGCGCTTTCAACTAACTTATTAAGTTTAACCAGCAGACTTTCGCTTGCGTGGCAATTACAAAACGGTCAGTGTAAAACGCAGACTACGGCTTGCAGACTATAATTTTTAAAGTAAGCTTATATAATATTATTGCTGCGCAGCGCAAGCAGCAGTTATAATCAGAATGTATAAGAAATCTATGCGAAATCAAGATTTTGTTGGAATGCACTGCGCAGCGACCAGGATGCAGTGCGCCCTGGTGGTGCCTTGCTTTGAGGTAAATGGACAAAACATGAAGGGCAAACTGCCATCTCTGTTTAAGAATTGTCAATACAGTATGCACATTTACATGTAAATACTGTTAACTTTCTTTTGTAACCATTTATAGGTGATTGAGTGACACACATTCACAAACAAATTTGCTAATACGTGTATTCATATTTCTAGGTTTTTTTTAAAATTTTATGACACTATTACGTTTTCTTGTAGTGGATGGAAATAATAACATAAACAAAAATCAACAAGGGATTGTACATGCAGTGCAAAATGTTGAAGATGGAGAGAGGCAGGACAAGCAAGTCTTGAGTCAACCACAGGAACAACTGGATATTATTAGTAAAACACCAGACCAGACTGAGCAAGTGAAATCAGTAGAAGAAATAGCAAACAAATTACAGAACAATAAAACTGTTGTTACAGCTACAACAGAAGAATCCAATGAAAATGATCAAGATAGCAATACAGAAGAGGGGTCTCAGGTCTCAGTTCAGGGGGTTTCATGTCCAAGCAGGGATCTGATGATGAATGCTGAAGATACAGTAACAGTAACTGCTGTAACAGCTCAGAATGAAAGTGGTGTATCTATTTCAGACAAAAATCGTAGTGGTGGTAGAAGAGATCTGTGGAGAAACTCTACACATGATGAAACAGATTTACCAGTAACTAACGTAATTGCAACACCTGACCAACACTTTGGAGAAAATGGGAAAATTAGTACAATGGGGAAATCTGTGGAAGTCCAAGAGTTAACAATGAAAAGCACTTCACACAATGACTCAGATCTGAATGTAATGCGGGGAACTGCAACATCACCTGACCAAGACATTGCAGATCATGAAAAACCAAGTACAATTGAGAAATCTGAAGAGAAACAAGAAGAAACAAACAGTACAGCTACAATTATTGCATGTAATGATGTAGAAACAATAGCTGAAAAGTTATATTCTCTAGACACAGAGTTNAATCAGAAGAAGACATAGCAAACAAATTACAGAACAATAAAACTGTTGTTGCAGCTACAACAGAAGAATCCAATGAAAATGATCAAGATAGCAATACAGAAGAGGGGCCTCAGGTCTCAGGTCAGGGGGTTTCATGTACAAGCAGGGATCTGATGATGAATGCTGAAGATACAGTAACGGTAACTGCTGTAACAGCTCAGAATGAAAGTGGTGTATCTATTTCAAACAAAAATCGTAATGGTGGTAGAAGAGATCTGCGGAGAAAGACTACACATGATGAAACAGATTTACCAGTAACTAACGTAATTGCAACACCTGACCAAGACTTTGGAGAAAATGAGAAAACTAGTACAATGGGGATATCTGTGAAAGTCCAAGAGTTAACAATGAAAAGCACTTCACACAATGACTCAGATCTGAATGTAATGCAGGAAACTGCAACATCACCTGACCAAGACATTACAGATCATGAAAAACCAAGTACAATTGAGAAATCTGAAGAGAAACAAGAAGAAACAAACAGTGCAGCTACAATTATTGCATGTAATGATGTAGAAACAATAGCTGAAAAGTTATATTCTGTAGACACAGAGTTTCAAGTACCAGAAAATCAATTAACTTCAGTTGATGAAGCAAGTGAGCATCCTGGCCCTTCTGTTAACTACAATCAATCTGTAAATAAGGAAATGGATCAAAGGAAATATTCACAACAAAATTCTTCTACTGACATAGAAGAACTAACTGCTGATGATCTTGACCAAACAGACAACTTTAATCAAGAAAAGGATACATCAAAGCAGAAGTCAACAGAGGATACTGTTGCTGAATTGCATAGTGAAACATCTAGGGATGAAAATGAAAAAAGGCTGAATTCTGAGACAGCCTTGCCACAATTTGGGTACACAAACAGTGAGCCTTTAATGGCAGAGTCAAGTGTACGGAATGAATCTGTATTGAGTCATGCTGGACCACAACAACAGGAAAATTCAAGTCCTTGTGGAGAGGAAAGCAAACTTCAGTTGAAAGATTCAGGCAGTCCTTCAGCCATTAGTGAAGTTAAGAACAGTGAAACTGAAGCAGCTATAAAATTAACACCATCTAGAGACAGAGATGCTGAAAACAGGCTGATTACAGCATTACGGCTTTCTTGTAAACTATCTCCTGGACATCTTGTTAGAGATCTTGATGTCAAAAGTGTGATGTCAGTTCACTTGTTGCGTTCACTCTCACCAGGGGTAGTGACAGTTGCAGAGTTAGTTCACAAGCTTGTGTATTTGACAGAACTTGATCTATCAGGAAATCTACTCGGTCCTCAAGGTTTTCGTGTGATTTGTCTGGCTCTCAGAAGGAATACAACTTTGAAGAGCTTGAACTTGGCTAACAACTTAGCAGACACTGATAGCTCTGTAAGTACAGAGACTAAAGTAGGGTTGTCATAAAGTAGCCAGGTTTATTGTGGGAATAGGTGGCTGATTTTTCCATCTTTTTTTAAAGACTTAGAGAAATAACCTAGCAGAGTACCCAGCCAAGATCATGAAGTACATGTAGATGGTGATTTTTGCTGGTAGCTGGCTACTTTTGACAAACCTGCTGAGTCCACTTCATTACACTACAGGCCTAAAATGTAGAACTATCTGATCCCCTCTCCTAGACTAGAAATATCCAGTCATCTTGAAGGAACAAGCTTGGTCAATAAAGGATTAATTGTATGGACTTTGATGAACCTGCCTCGGCTTTGGGGAAAATTTTACTTGCAAGACACAGCACTTAATCCCGATCGTGCAATATAGCACCATCTTGCCTGCTTGAGTAGTCAATCCCAGCGCAGGATTTGGTTCATCTTGCTCACTCACCAGTTAGCCATATAATAAAAGCAATTATGAACAAGAAGGTGATCCTTCAAGAAGATCAGTTTTATCTTAGTTCGTAAATTTTCTGAGGTGACTGGGAGCACTATGTAGTGTTGTATTTTTCATCTTTGAAGATGTATGGGTTATTGACCAAGTGTGAGGTCACGATGGCTGGATATTGGCCAAGTTCTTTTTTTGCGTGTTTATGGACCGAGACGGAGTCAAGGTCCATAAACTTGCAAAACAACGAACGAGGCCAATATCAAGCCATCTTGACCGAACAAGCTTGGTCAATAAAGGATTTATCATATGGCTTTTGGGGAAATTTTTCTCGCGGGACACGGCGGATAGTCCCGAGCGGGCAAGATAGCTCCATCTTGCCTGCTTGTGGAGCTAGCCATATAATAAAACAAGGTCTCATACAAAATACATGGAGGGAGGGGGTGGGGAGGGAGTGCTGGGAGTTACCTGTCATGGCCTAGCACCCCATCTGCTTCTAGTGGAAACCTCTCTAGTTAAGCGCAAGCTTTTTAATTCACCTTTTGCCCTGGTTGGGTTGTTCACAGGATGGATTTGCCTCCGATAGATACCTTTAATATAACTTGTATTAGGTTGTGTTGTATTGTTTTTGCTCAGATTATTATTTTCCATTAGGAGTGTGTAGGAATGATGGTATCTACTAACTATACTTTGGAAAGACTGGATGTGTCTGGAAATAATCTTGGCAATGACTATTTTTCACGGTGCACTGGACCAGCACTAAGGACAAACTGGTCCTTGAAATCTTTAAAGTTTTCCAGTTGCGGCTCAAGTGATGTGTCTGCCATTTGCGAAGCTCTAGTTGAGGGAAATTCAACTATTGAAGAACTTGATGCCAGTAACAACCATATTGGGGCTGTCTTCGGTCAAGGATTGTCAAACATCTTGCAGGTAATTTGAGATGATAAATTTGTAGTTATTTATTACCACCTCATTATTACAGCTGTATACTTGTTCATAAAATTATTCCTTCACAATTACTGTATCAGATTTTAGTAACTTGGTAGTTATTTTATAAACAGTAGTCCATTGTCCAGTATATAATATATACGTGCGTGGTACATACATTTACTGTACGGTTCACAGTTTAACAACCCTTGTAATTTTCGGATTTAGCAACCATTTCCTTCTGCTCCCAAAGGAGGGCAAGTACTTTTGGTCATCGATTTCTATTTGATGGTATTCTAATACATAGTATATGTAATGGCGTAAAGATGGGGATGGGTTTGTTTTAGAGTTGTAGAAAACTTTGATATAAGGGACCCGCCAGGAAAGGCTAATTTGTTGAGCTCACCGCTTGTAGCCGGTCATGTATTTATGCTGCATTACCTTGCTTCTCGCAGCAACCAGTTTGCTCTTTACGGTATCTTGACGTTCATGGTACAAACCTTGGAACAGAAGGCATGGCAACTCTCCTGGCAGGAATACAGCAAAACAGTTCACTCAGCAGTCTGAATGCCGCAGGACACCAGGTACAGTAGGTATACCGTCTAACCCTCCATAGAAGCTGAATCGTTTTCTTCTTTGGTTTGTTCAGTCACTCAAGTGAGGTTGTTCATGAACAAAACCCTCCCGGCGGCATTAACCAATCAGAAGTTACATCTACTCTCCCGCTATCTAACAATATGCAGATTATCATTTAAAATTTCCGCCGAAAGGAAAATGCTTACATAGATATTTTCCTTAAACTAGATAGTGCAAATTTTCTTCTTCCATTTTGTAACCGTAATATTCCCATGGCCAAAGAAGATCTAACCACGAGTTATGGAGGCTACATGTAGAAGGGTGTTTTCATTTTATTGCTGTCAGGTGACTACATGCGTATAATGTTTCTATAATACTTTTGTTTTCAGGTGTCCCGTTTGTCATTTTTAATGGAGTTTTTATACAGCAGCATTTGTCATCCCACTCTAGAGGAGTTGATCCTGGAGAATACTAAAGTTCTTGAACTTGATGGATGGAACCCATCAGGTGTTACTTTACTTACATGTACATTATATTGTGCTTTTATAAATGCAGTTCTGATAGTGGGGTAGACTAAGTTATCTCTGGCTGTCTGGCTGGCTAAGAAACCTTATGCGCCACTTGGCGCGAAGACGTTAGGTGAAGGAAGGCGAAGTCTGGCTTAGTAGTCTTTTTCATTGTATGTTTACTCACTGTCTCATTCGGCGATGACGTTTTCGTTTTGATTAGAGCTTGAGGAAACACTAGTTTATTAGAAAGTGAACTCATTAAAAAGAGTGTAAAGAAAATCAGAAGGAAAGAAACCACTAAGACTGCAAAATCCACCAATCTCTTGCTATCGGACACGACTTTCATTGCATACTGTTAACACATTTAAGTGACGTGGCGACTCTATGTAAAAAGCTGACTTGCAGGAAAGTAGACGGAGGAACTTCTTGCCTTTGTAAGAAATTCCTCTTTGATGTTTTAAATTGTTGGTGCCACTTTTCAATTCCTTTCCACTCGCCCTTTGTTGGGTATAGCGTTAGAAAACAGCGTCTCTTTTTAAATTTGGCTTCGTGTTAACAGCGACTCTTATTTGTATTTACTTGATGTAGGCTTGTCATTAACGGAGGGAAGTTCCAGTCTCACCAAACTACTCCTGTCAGGATGTTCTTTGACAAACCAAACATTGAGGACTCTGTCCGAAAAGGCTTCAGGCAAATTACCTTGCCTTGTTTACTTGGATCTCTCCAGTAATGAACAGCTAACTGCAGAGTGTCTATTGAGTATTTGTGCCATGACCTCTTCTCCAGGTGAGATTTTCAGTAATCTTCCTCAGATGTATGTCGAAGCTAACCAGCACTCTGATTAGCAAGCTGAAATGGGTGGGGGGTTTTCTCTGTTAATTATAAAATTATTTGTACACTGACTTGTTAAGTGGATACAAGGGAATACTATTCCAACTCAGCTAGGAACTAATAAACCAAGAGTTCATGGGGATTTAGTCAACAACAAGCCATGGGATTTTTCACAAATGTGCTCAGTAGAGGCATCAAGATTAAGACACATCATATGTAGTAATCGTATTGGCAGGAGTTGGTGTGTCGCATTCGTGGTCCAGCAGTCTGGGTTCCAGTCCTCTGGCCGGGATCATTGTGTTATGTTCTTGACACTTAACTCTGCAGCAGTTCCATTCTCCATATTTCCGTCGACCCGGGGCCCATTCGTTAAACCTTTGAAGCCCGGTGTAGCCTACCGATGGGACATATTTTAAGGCGGGATACCGGCAAAGAGGGTTAGATAGGGAGAGATACCTGTAGGTGCTGACCTTCCCTCCAGTAGATTACAGTAAATAACACATGCTACGATGTAGTCTTACTATTAACTGAATGTGCGGTTTGCAGGCCAAAGTTGCTCCTTATCTGTGCTGGACTTCTCATTAAACGCGGCTGATGACATTGCTGGTGATATCGAAAAGCTTCCTGGACTAAAAAACTTAAAGACGTTGCTTTTGAAAAAATGCAGAATTACCCCAGCGAGTGTAGTTGATCTCTCCAAGCTTATCACCTTGACAACGCCTGATTTCTTGAGAATTTCCTCTGTGACGCTGGACGGCATCAAACTATCAGGCGCAGACGCCTTGAAAGGCATGCTGGGACTGTCAGACATGTTTATACCCACAAATCCTTGCAGCCTGGAGTTGCTGTCACTCATAGGGTGTGGCTTGAACGATAGAGACGTAAAACCGCTGATGAACGGCATCGGCAATGGACTGGTCATCAAAGAACTGAGATTATCAGCAAACCGACTCACAGATACAACCGTTAACTACTTAGTAGATTCCTCTGGAACAGCGCTTTCTCTTCAAGCGCTGGATCTTTCTTTAAACAAGGTTGGTGTATCTAAGGACAATTCGAGATAATTATAACGAAAATTTCTCCCCCTCCTGTCAACACGATTACTACATATAATGTGTCTTAATTTCGGTATCTATACTCACTGAGCAAATTTGTGAAAAATACCATGGCTTGTTGTTGACTAAAACCCCTTGAACTCTCGTTTTTATAGTTTCTAATCTGAGAAATATCTCAAAGACCACACTGCACTACTTATTGAATAAATCAGTCCATTTAATTTAGCTATAGTGCTTAAACTGACAGTGCACTTTACCTCTCCATCAGTTGGAACCGTTGAACTACTGGAGCAACATAAATCAGTAAAATGCTAAGGGTAATGTGCGACGGAACAACGACCAAGAAGAGTAACAATTCTAATAGACAATTTATTCTACGGATATAGGGCTTAAGCACCAGCACACAGAGCCAAGAGACCCTAAATTAGCTTTTACTTCACTTCGCGCGTAAGAGACAGTTTCCCTGTCTTTTCATTTGATGTACTCGAACTAATTACGTTTTCTTAAGCATCGCTTCTTGTCTTCATGAAGTAATATCTCAAAGAATAAACTCTCTTTTTATTAGATTCGAAATGGCGGAGCCCAGAAATTAGCAGGAGCTTTGTCCGACAAACTGGCAAACCTGAAAAGCTTATTGCTGGCTGACAACTGTATCGGTCAGATAGGAATACTAGCTTTGGTCGGCAAGGTCGGTCCCGGCTCTCAAGTAGGAGTATTAAACCTCAAGAGCCAACAACAAGCGTTGGGAGAGGAAGATATGGACGAAATAATGGAAGAGCTGGCGAAATCACTAGGTATATGTGATAGTTACATATGGCTCTAAAACGATACTGCTGACATAATTTATCTCGAAAGGAAAGCAAGGCAAATATGCGAGCGCGCATTGGTTTTGTTTCAAAAGACTGGTTCTGTACACGTTTTTCCCATTGGTAGTTGAGAATTTGTCTGTCATATTACACTTTCAGGATTTGACCCAGAAAACAGCGAAGGTTGTGCACCAGACATCAGTCTTCCAGCAAACTTCACAATCAATCTTACCGGGTTAGGAGGTGAACCCGGTGAACTGGGACCTAAACTCGACAGTCAAGCCGTGCTGACAGATTACAGTGCCAAGCACCGCAGAACCTTGACGTTTAAAGATGTACTCCAGCTGTCAGCGGTCCTGTCCCAATCAGAAAACACGAGGGCTATAATGAGTCAGAGCGACTGGGACCGAGTCATCAGCGCCGATAAAGACGCTCCGGCGTGGTTGCAACTTTCATCAAAACGCGAGTGCGCTGTGTACGTCAGTAACCTGCCGCTGAGTGTCACTGCAGAAAAACTTGAGGGACAACTGGATAGCGAAGCGGAGTGCAATGTTGTGGAAGTTTATTTGCTGAAGGTTAGAAAAACTGCCTACTTTCCTGGCATTTATTTTGCTTTAATAAGTATTACTCGCGCATGTCAACTGGTACTTTGGTTTGGTCGGTCGATTGTTGGGTCGGGAGGTCGGGAGTGAAGGCAAAATAGTATGTTACTCGATTGTGTTACAAATCTGGTCTGTTGATTTTGTCGTGATGTTACTTCTGACAAACACTTGTCACTTGACTCGTTGACCTCGCTCAGGTTGGCGTTGTCGAAACATCAGTCACCAACAGCAGGTTCCTAACAGAACTTCTCTCACCCATCAACCTCGTTCGCAAAAGCCGTGGGAAAGAGGTTGCTCACTCAGACGATCGTACTAGGCAAACCACCTGAGCATGATACTCCTCGGTTCAAGCCATTTACCGCGTGTGTTATATTTTCACAAATAAACGCTTGGTTTTTATTTAAATTCAGGATCAAATTCTGAGGAAACCAAATGGTTTAGCGTGGGTGCTGTTCACAGATTCTGCATCTGTTCAGCGGGCAGTGGAATACTACAACTCAGGTCAGGCCTTCATGTACGGCACGCCATTTGTTATCTCCACCCTGAATGTTGATGTTATGGCCGACACTGGATCCGAAGAAAATGCTGAGGCTAAAGCAAGGTCAGTGGCTTTCTGAGATCTCTAACAAACTAGTCAAATTTTGAATAACTCCATGACGACAACACTTTTTATGTTTAAACGATGATACAAAATTACAGCAGGGCTAATGTGGTCGTGTAAACAAATCGCTATAGCTTTAAAGAACACGGAACTAGCACAAGCTGTCGACGTAGTGAGCTTGGAGAATCTTCATTTTGATTATAACCCTAAACAAGCAATCGTTTTGTTTCACTTTCTTTGGATGTTTTTTTTTAAAGATAAATAGAAAACATTTCCCGCGTTTTACGCGACTGGTGAATTGCGGGAAAAGGATGCTGCAGTTGCGACAGGTAACCTTTTATTTTGGTTTGTTTCTTATTTTGTTGGCTGATTGATTGATTTTCATCGTGTTTACAGACAAGAGGTGATACAACGTGCTGAAGGTCGTAAAGCGGATCAAACTGCGCATGCACAACTGGTTCAGTCGAACTATAACGAGAGTCTTGCGCGTCACGAGTATGCGGCCCAGCATCCCGCCTACGCAGATGGCCGAGTGTGGTGAGCTGGTGCCGAGGGTCCAATCAGGACAGGAAGCCCTNTTATAAACAGTAGTCCATTGTCCAGTATATAATATATACGTGCGTGGTACATACATTTACTGTACGGTTCACAGTTTAACAACCCTTGTAATTTTCGGATTTAGCAACCATTTCCTTCTGCTCCCAAAGGAGGGCAAGTACTTTTGGTCATCGATTTCTATTTGATGGTATTCTAATACATAGTATATGTAATGGCGTAAAGATGGGGATGGGTTTGTTTTAGAGTTGTAGAAAACTTTGATATAAGGGACCCGCCAGGAAAGGCTAATTTGTTGAGCTCACCGCTTGTAGCCGGTCATGTATTTATGCTGCATTACCTTGCTTCTCGCAGCAACCAGTTTGCTCTTTACGGTATCTTGACGTTCATGGTACAAACCTTGGAACAGAAGGCATGGCAACTCTCCTGGCAGGAATACAGCAAAACAGTTCACTCATCAGTCTGAATGCCGCAGGACACCAGGTACAGTAGGTATACCGTCTAACCCTCCATAGAAGCTGAATCGTTTTCTTCTTTGGTTTGTTCAGTCACTCAAGTGAGGTTGTTCATGAACAAAACCCTCCCGGCGGCATTAACCAATCAGAAGTTACATCTACTCTCCCGCTATCTAACAATATGCAGATTATCATTTAAAATTTCCGCCGAAAGGAAAATGCTTACATAGATATTTTCCTTAAACTAGATAGTGCAAATTTTCTTCTTCCATTTTGTAACCGTAATATTCCCATGGCCAAAGAAGATCTAACCACGAGTTATGGAGGCTACATGTAGAAGGGTGTTTTCATTTTATTGCTGTCAGGTGACTACATGCGTATAATGTTTCTATAATACTTTTGTTTTCAGGTGTCCCGTTTGTCATTTTTAATGGAGTTTTTATACAGCAGCATTTGTCATCCCACTCTAGAGGAGTTGATCCTGGAGAATACTAAAGTTCTTGAACTTGATGGATGGAACCCATCAGGTGTTACTTTACTTACATGTACATTATATTGTGCTTTTATAAATGCAGTTCTGATAGTGGGGTAGACTAAGTTATCTCTGGCTGTCTGGCTGGCTAAGAAACCTTATGCGCCACTTGGCGCGAAGACGTTAGGTGAAGGAAGGCGAAGTCTGGCTTAGTAGTCTTTTTCATTGTATGTTTACTCACTGTCTCATTCGGCGATGACGTTTTCGTTTTGATTAGAGCTTGAGGAAACACTAGTTTATTAGAAAGTGAACTCATTAAAAAGAGTGTAAAGAAAATCAGAAGGAAAGAAACCACTAAGACTGCAAAATCCACCAATCTCTTGCTATCGGACACGACTTTCATTGCATACTGTTAACACATTTAAGTGACGTGGCGACTCTATGTAAAAAGCTGACTTGCAGGAAAGTAGACGGAGGAACTTCTTGCCTTTGTAAGAAATTCCTCTTTGATGTTTTAAATTGTTGGTGCCACTTTTCAATTCCTTTCCACTCGCCCTTTGTTGGGTATAGCGTTAGAAAACAGCGTCTCTTTTTAAATTTGGCTTCGTGTTAACAGCGACTCTTATTTGTATTTACTTGATGTAGGCTTGTCATTAACGGAGGGAAGTTCCAGTCTCACCAAACTACTCCTGTCAGGATGTTCTTTGACAAACCAAACATTGAGGACTCTGTCCGAAAAGGCTTCAGGCAAATTACCTTGCCTTGTTTACTTGGATCTCTCCAGTAATGAACAGCTAACTGCAGAGTGTCTATTGAGTATTTGTGCCATGACCTCTTCTCCAGGTGAGATTTTCAGTAATCTTCCTCAGATGTATGTCGAAGCTAACCAGCACTCTGATTAGCAAGCTGAAATGGGTGGGGGGTTTTCTCTGTTAATTATAAAATTATTTGTACACTGACTTGTTAAGTGGATACAAGGGAATACTATTCCAACTCAGCTAGGAACTAATAAACCAAGAGTTCATGGGGATTTAGTCAACAACAAGCCATGGGATTTTTCACAAATGTGCTCAGTAGAGGCATCAAGATTAAGACACATCATATGTAGTAATCGTATTGGCAGGAGTTGGTGTGTCGCATTCGTGGTCCAGCAGTCTGGGTTCCAGTCCTCTGGCCGGGATCATTGTGTTATGTTCTTGACACTTAACTCTGCAGCAGTTCCATTCTCCATATTTCCGTCGACCCGGGGCCCATTCGTTAAACCTTTGAAGCCCGGTGTAGCCTACCGATGGGACATATTTTAAGGCGGGATACCGGCAAAGAGGGTTAGATAGGGAGAGATACCTGTAGGTGCTGACCTTCCCTCCAGTAGATTACAGTAAATAACACATGCTACGATGTAGTCTTACTATTAACTGAATGTGCGGTTTGCAGGCCAAAGTTGCTCCTTATCTGTGCTGGACTTCTCATTAAACGCGGCTGATGACATTGCTGGTGATATCGAAAAGCTTCCTGGACTAAAAAACTTAAAGACGTTGCTTTTGAAAAAATGCAGAATTACCCCAGCGAGTGTAGTTGATCTCTCCAAGCTTATCACCTTGACAACGCCTGATTTCTTGAGAATTTCCTCTGTGACGCTGGACGGCATCAAACTATCAGGCGCAGACGCCTTGAAAGGCATGCTGGGACTGTCAGACATGTTTATACCCACAAATCCTTGCAGCCTGGAGTTGCTGTCACTCATAGGGTGTGGCTTGAACGATAGAGACGTAAAACCGCTGATGAACGGCATCGGCAATGGACTGGTCATCAAAGAACTGAGATTATCAGCAAACCGACTCACAGATACAACCGTTAACTACTTAGTAGATTCCTCTGGAACAGCGCTTTCTCTTCAAGCGCTGGATCTTTCTTTAAACAAGGTTGGTGTATCTAAGGACAATTCGAGATAATTATAACGAAAATTTCTCCCCCTCCTGTCAACACGATTACTACATATAATGTGTCTTAATTTCGGTATCTATACTCACTGAGCAAATTTGTGAAAAATACCATGGCTTGTTGTTGACTAAAACCCCTTGAACTCTCGTTTTTATAGTTTCTAATCTGAGAAATATCTCAAAGACCACACTGCACTACTTATTGAATAAATCAGTCCATTTAATTTAGCTATAGTGCTTAAACTGACAGTGCACTTTACCTCTCCATCAGTTGGAACCGTTGAACTACTGGAGCAACATAAATCAGTAAAATGCTAAGGGTAATGTGCGACGGAACAACGACCAAGAAGAGTAACAATTCTAATAGACAATTTATTCTACGGATATAGGGCTTAAGCACCAGCACACAGAGCCAAGAGACCCTAAATTAGCTTTTACTTCACTTCGCGCGTAAGAGACAGTTTCCCTGTCTTTTCATTTGATGTACTCGAACTAATTACGTTTTCTTAAGCATCGCTTCTTGTCTTCATGAAGTAATATCTCAAAGAATAAACTCTCTTTTTATTAGATTCGAAATGGCGGAGCCCAGAAATTAGCAGGAGCTTTGTCCGACAAACTGGCAAACCTGAAAAGCTTATTGCTGGCTGACAACTGTATCGGTCAGATAGGAATACTAGCTTTGGTCGGCAAGGTCGGTCCCGGCTCTCAAGTAGGAGTATTAAACCTCAAGAGCCAACAACAAGCGTTGGGAGAGGAAGATATGGACGAAATAATGGAAGAGCTGGCGAAATCACTAGGTATATGTGATAGTTACATATGGCTCTAAAACGATACTGCTGACATAATTTATCTCGAAAGGAAAGCAAGGCAAATATGCGAGCGCGCATTGGTTTTGTTTCAAAAGACTGGTTCTGTACACGTTTTTCCCATTGGTAGTTGAGAATTTGTCTGTCATATTACACTTTCAGGATTTGACCCAGAAAACAGCGAAGGTTGTGCACCAGACATCAGTCTTCCAGCAAACTTCACAATCAATCTTACCGGGTTAGGAGGTGAACCCGGTGAACTGGGACCTAAACTCGACAGTCAAGCCGTGCTGACAGATTACAGTGCCAAGCACCGCAGAACCTTGACGTTTAAAGATGTACTCCAGCTGTCAGCGGTCCTGTCCCAATCAGAAAACACGAGGGCTATAATGAGTCAGAGCGACTGGGACCGAGTCATCAGCGCCGATAAAGACGCTCCGGCGTGGTTGCAACTTTCATCAAAACGCGAGTGCGCTGTGTACGTCAGTAACCTGCCGCTGAGTGTCACTGCAGAAAAACTTGAGGGACAACTGGATAGCGAAGCGGAGTGCAATGTTGTGGAAGTTTATTTGCTGAAGGTTAGAAAAACTGCCTACTTTCCTGGCATTTATTTTGCTTTAATAAGTATTACTCGCGCATGTCAACTGGTACTTTGGTTTGGTCGGTCGATTGTTGGGTCGGGAGGTCGGGAGTGAAGGCAAAATAGTATGTTACTCGATTGTGTTACAAATCTGGTCTGTTGATTTTGTCGTGATGTTACTTCTGACAAACACTTGTCACTTGACTCGTTGACCTCGCTCAGGTTGGCGTTGTCGAAACATCAGTCACCAACAGCAGGTTCCTAACAGAACTTCTCTCACCCATCAACCTCGTTCGCAAAAGCCGTGGGAAAGAGGTTGCTCACTCAGACGATCGTACTAGGCAAACCACCTGAGCATGATACTCCTCGGTTCAAGCCATTTACCGCGTGTGTTATATTTTCACAAATAAACGCTTGGTTTTTATTTAAATTCAGGATCAAATTCTGAGGAAACCAAATGGTTTAGCGTGGGTGCTGTTCACAGATTCTGCATCTGTTCAGCGGGCAGTGGAATACTACAACTCAGGTCAGGCCTTCATGTACGGCACGCCATTTGTTATCTCCACCCTGAATGTTGATGTTATGGCCGACACTGGATCCGAAGAAAATGCTGAGGCTAAAGCAAGGTCAGTGGCTTTCTGAGATCTCTAACAAACTAGTCAAATTTTGAATAACTCCATGACGACAACACTTTTTATGTTTAAACGATGATACAAAATTACAGCAGGGCTAATGTGGTCGTGTAAACAAATCGCTATAGCTTTAAAGAACACGGAACTAGCACAAGCTGTCGACGTAGTGAGCTTGGAGAATCTTCATTTTGATTATAACCCTAAACAAGCAATCGTTTTGTTTCACTTTCTTTGGATGTTTTTTTTTAAAGATAAATAGAAAACATTTCCCGCGTTTTACGCGACTGGTGAATTGCGGGAAAAGGATGCTGCAGTTGCGACAGGTAACCTTTTATTTTGGTTTGTTTCTTATTTTGTTGGCTGATTGATTGATTTTCATCGTGTTTACAGACAAGAGGTGATACAACGTGCTGAAGGTCGTAAAGCGGATCAAACTGCGCATGCACAACTGGTTCAGTCGAACTATAACGAGAGTCTTGCGCGTCACGAGTATGCGGCCCAGCATCCCGCCTACGCAGATGGCCGAGTGTGGTGAGCTGGTGCCGAGGGTCCAATCAGGACAGGAAGCCCTTTAAAATTGTTGTAGTTCTAGCATCGAAGCTTCCCTGGGCTGATTGTTGGCGAAGAGCAAACCATCAAAGTCGCAAGAATCCGAACCGTCTAATTGTTTAATTATAACGCTCTGAACGGTTCTTTCAAACAACAACAACAACAACAACAACGACAACAACGACAAAACTGAAGAACATTTCCCTTTTAGAGCCTTCACTTAAACGCGAAGTGGAGGCCATTTTCGAAGATTGTCCACAGCCTCCCTCCTTCGTTTATTCGACGGCCTCTGTGTTGACAGACCGCGCGGTTACATCTTGTATCCAATATTTGGTTTATGGGTAATGTTAAAAGAGTGCATTTCAACTGTGTGCTCGTACATATTACTCTGGTCTGAAGAGTTTTCAACACTACTTAATTATTTATTTTTAAATAAAGGATGTGTAATATTTTGCTAAAGAATTTGTCCATATTTTGTGAATGTTTATGGACCACAGAGTGTTTATATAAGAATTTGATCTGTTTGTAAATAAAACAGGAAACCATTGATAGACGTTTCGCCTTTTCACTTCAAAAAGAACAGTTCCCGAAAACGAGTGTTCAGTGTTCAGAGAGAAGGAATGTGAAATCTCTACTGCCCGTGAAATGCAGCAGTCAATTGAGGCTGGGATGTCCTGCCGTCAGTGCTTGTGACGATCTTTTATTTTTCTTACAAGACGTGACGATATTTCATTTGCCTTACATGAAGTGTATTAGACTGCATGGAAGCCCAGATGTATGCCTGTTCAGACCAGTTCATTAAAACTTTCGAGTTGTGTGTATTGTGTGCTGAGGTCCCTGCTCTATTTTGCTGTCCCCATTTGACGCTTCCTTGGCGGTGTACAACGTAACAGTACTAATGTACAAATGATCGCAATAATTAAAGAATATCAAAACTGCTACTTGAATTCGGGCACAGCAACACCTAACATTGGGTGATATGAAGCAAACGTTTACGCTTGATTAGAGTTCTTTTTGTGTACTCCTTTCAGTTCATCTGAAGGACAAAGCTATTTCGGGCTGATACTATGTTCTAAAACAAATCGTAAAATAACCTTGATGTTCCGTTCACAGAAACCCCTTTTCTATTCAGCTTTTAAGAGCAAACGGCAGACCCTTGAAGTCTTACCGTTGCATTTAAAAACTGAACAGTTGACCGTTTTTTTCACTAATTAAAAAACTGCGGAGGTGTTGGAAGGCGACGATCCCGGGGTCGGGGCATTTGCCCACTTTCTTCGTCCCCACCCCGGGGCATTTAGACAGCCTATGTGTCCCCACCCCGGGGAATTTGCGCATTTTTTTTAAAAAAATGCTTATGCCCGGGGGTTAGCCCGGGGGGAGGGGGGGGGGGAGAATAGGCACTGCTGGAATTGACTGATGCATAATATTTTTATTTTCAACGATTTCCTGTTGGTTGAAATTCGAATTTGGCGAAGTTTGTTTTCTCGGTACCCTGCAGCGACCCATCGCTGTGACGTGCTTCAATGTTCCATTTCGGCACACAATAAGTTAATAGTTAATAAAGTGTCTACTGTTCGTGGCGCAGATGTCACTAGCGGTTCGATTCGATTCAGTGTCGTGATTTAAGTAACACTTGATTTCTGAGCTCACCTTGGATTCGTGAGAAACATCTCGCGTTGTCTGTGTTTGCCTTATTTTTGCAAAGAAGCCAAATGCTCGACTGCGCTTTCGAAACGCACGGTCGCCTTTCTCGTTGACAATTTGTTTGGCATACTTCAAGTTAACAACGGCTCGTAAATCAGCTTAAACATATAACAATACAGCTCACTGGACAAGAAACAAAATGGGTGTCCAATGTTCCTTGATTTTATCCAGTTTACGAAAAGCGCGGGAAACAAGTAACTAAGTCGACAGCTTGTAAAAGCTCCCGCTCTCAGTGGTCGCTAACTCAGCCATTCCAAATTAGTAGTATAGGTAATGTTGCGAATGCGGGTGCAATTAAGGTTACACTAAGAGTAATATTTGAAAATTCTCTCAAAATTGCACGAGCCTTTAGGCGAATGTAATTTAAAAGAATTTTCAAATATCATATGTAGTGTAAATCCTCTTCATAAGATTACTCATTTATTATATGACTGAGAAAATAACGAACGCACGCGCGTTAATTTGCGCTGTATAGTGCAAATTAGAAATTAACGATAAATTAGCCTGCTCTCAGCCGATCACAATGAGGTAATTTTCGCAGTCATATAACAAAATAATCAACACATCAAAACACATAATAAATCCAGCCCTGTCTCTTGAGATTAATGACACAAAAAAATGCACATTTGCGCGCTCAAGTAGTAGGCCAGACATAAACTGTTGAACCATGCCGATTTTAATATCTGAATGGTACGCAAAAATCTCAGAAATTCCGAACGAAAACTGGCATGCATGTTCCAGTTACTCGAAGCGCCTGGAATTAAGCTTAGTTGCCGAATATAGCAGCAGGGTGTACGGGTCGACGGTAAATTTCCAATTGAAAATTTTGGACTTTACTCAAGATGTGCCATTGTCATTGAAAATGTTCCGGTTGATCAAGCTGATTCGCCTCACATAACAATCAACATTTCGACCACAGGTTCCGGAAATTTGGAAGTAAATAAAACTGCTATGTTAAAAAATTCAAATAATTATACTGGACCGGTATAATTTAAACTTAACGCGGGCAAACAGTTCTCTTCGTACATGATAGTAATGCGTCTAGTAATGCGTGTATTGAAGACAACCAGAGAGCGCGCACAACTTTAAAGGACTCATTTCCCTTTTTCGGCTTGAAAAAACAATGATTTAAATTGAGTTTGGCAACAGCGACCGTTAACAGAAACCCAAATTGCGCGGTCTACGCAAATAAATACGCCTGACTTTCGTATTCGTCACAGTCTGCTGCTTTAGAACAAGGCACTATTAAAATAGGTCTTATAAATACGGCGCGACGGTTAGCGTGGGGTTCATTTGACGGTTCTACTTACAACAGTTCACACGGCAGGTTATGATACCGAGTTTGGAAAATTTGATAAAGTTGTTCTGGCAAAGTGATAAAATCATCCTGTCAGTTGAAGATGAAGGCTGTGTTGCTAAGTTTTCTGTTTCTGTCGATTGTCGTCTGCAAAGCTGCGAAGTTTCCTTTCCACTTAAAGGACGAACAAGGTAAGAACTGCTTATCATATTCGTCATATTGTTTTGGTTTCGTAATGAAGTTGATATGGATAAATACACACGCGATATTCAAGTCAGTAACTCAAAATGAACATTTTTCGATTTTCTATTGTCCGACTGAAAGTTGACTAGTTTAAAGAGTGTATGCGACGTTGAAGTTCAGGCCGAAGGCGCTTTTTTGTACTTATTTACATTGTAATGCCAATGCAACGGTAATCGACAAAAGCTTTTGTCTTTTTCGCGCCTTTTTTCCAACCATGTTTTCAACTGATTTGTCAACAAATGAGCGAATCTATCTTAATCTCACAACTGAATATTGATTGCTGAGTGTCTTTCTTGGGAGAGGTAACAAATGCTGGTAAAAAGGAAAGTGTACGGCAGAGTACAGATCACTACATTACACAACAAGACAGGGAACGCGCGATCTAATTTGAAAGTTAAGCTAGTTTAATATCGATTATCGGCGAACTAATCAGACTCACGGACTCAAATTAGATCAGACTGTAGTTCGAATATCTTCTTTCCGACGATTGGGAGCATTGAAGGATGAGAACCACGGAAAAAATTTTGGTCGCTTAAATTCAGTTGCATCCCTGGTGTTTACAAAGACTCCAACCGGGGTCACTTGAGAGTCTTAAATCAATCAGCACACAATTTTAGTTTGCTTGTGATCTTACCAATCATATTTTAGCAACATGAATGCGGTTAGAATAGACAATTTTGATTGGCTGCAACCTGCATTCAAACTTCAGTGACTGGAACTGCTCAGCAAATGAGCGCTAAAATATTTTGGACTCACCGCAGCCGCCAGAGCGGACGCTTGCCGCCCACGCACTCAATTGGGTTCAAAGTTATTTTTATGCTATGTAAATCACTAGAGTGGAAAAATTTAGGACCTGACCACACTAATGCGTTATTAAAAGTATCCGTTTTCGTCTCAACGAAAACAGAGCAAAATATTTTGACCACACAAGCGTTTTCGTTTTGTTTTCACCTCTCCAAACTAATTCGTTTTCATTGGAGACCGTTGGAAAAAGCATACTTTTTGATACATTTCGTCTATCGTCCACAACCAGAACGCCTCAAAACGCTGATGGAACTATGACTCTTTTTTCGGCACCGTTTACAAAAGCACCCGTTTTCAACTATCCACACTAGAAACAGAGCATTTTCCAAACGATGCGTTTTCAATAGCGTCCTCTTTAAAACCGTTTTCGAAAACCTCCGTTTTCATTACCGTTTTCGGTCGTTTTAGTGTGGGGTCGAAAATGCATCAAAATGTATGAGTTTTAAAACGCATGAGTGTGGTCGGGGCCTAGTCGCAAGATTTTTATGTGGTGCTGCGTCAATCTTAATCACGCGAATTCAACGCAGTCAACACTTTTATATTTAAACACGTCACGCCTGGGAGCTAAGTAAGCTCGATCAAAATACAAACGTGTATGTAACTAGAAAAATTAAATAACCAATAAAATGAATTAAATTGTCACAAAAATAATACAATTAAATATCTAAGAATAAAATAAGCCTAATCATATATTTTTATGTATGCTATTAACACTTAAAATTATGTGCACAGTAAAAATCATCCATCATGGAACTTATTCTCTCAAACCGTGACAGGGAGGACAGAACTTTACATTATGCAATTTAACAAATTCCCTATACTCAGGAAGAATATTTTCATTTATTTGATCAGCATTGCATCTTGTTAAGTTTGTTTCTTCCAACCAACCAAGTTCAAACATTTTGTTTTCTCGATAGATTGTTCGTTTTGTGAAAGTATGCATCGGCTAGGGGACTGCATCTGCGACGATGTGAATTGGTGTCGTGGCGTACAATGCAATGTTGCGGCAAAGTGTGATGAAAAATGTAAGAATTGGAACTTTTTCAGAAAGATACAAAAACTACATAAATATATATTAATTTGTCATGACTGAAAAACGTACAAAGTAGTGTTTAAGGGTGCTTTTCTTTGGGGTGATCTGGATCAGGATCAGTGATCCAAGATCACTCGGATCATGGTGCATTAAAAGAATCGATGAATCCGTGAGTAGAGTAGATTCATCGGTTCCTTTGATGTACCACGATCCGAGTGATCTTGGATCACTAATCCTGATCCAGATCATCCTAAAGGAACGCACCCTAAATATTCCAAACCCAGAGCTCATATAGGCCACTACTGAATAGAAATGGACGCTCAGGGATTGAAATACAAAGAAGACTTTTTCTCCTACATGAGGTAATTAATTCAAAGAGAGGTGATAGCTAGAATGGGTCGTGAGGACGCTATATTAAATCTTCTTGCGATTAGTGGCTGTCGCTCGACAGGGATGTCCGACTCAAGTAGTGAATCTTGATGTCCACCAGAACTTAGCTTAACCCTGAGAAATAGATGAGCGACCAAAAAACTACCTTCCAGTTGACCATCAAAAATGAAAGATTCCTGAATTCAACCAGAATGACCGTGGAAGTATCCCTAATTAACATTGAAGCCTCTCTGTTCTGGAGACAGGCCGCACAGACACACATCAATCTCCGATTTTGTTTGCGTGGGTTCGGTAGTTCTTTTTATTTTTTTTCGGAATGGGAGGCACATCGACCAAGGAAGTATAGAATCAGTCAATTAAGATTTCAGAATTTATCAAGGTTGGGTTATCAATTTTATTAATTTTAACGTGCTGCACACCTACAGGTCGTACAGATGAAACCCCGCCATCAGTGATACAGGAACCTGAAATAGTTCCAGTCACTGCAGCCTCTGTTGGAAACGATTCAGAGCAAGGTTAGAGAGAATATTCCTCATCAATATCAAAGACGATTTTCCAAATATGTTACAAAGGGTTCTTGTTGGATATAACTTTGGACTGCCGTCTGCCCCCCCCCCCCTGGGGGGGGGGTACTCCCAGGAAACTTTGGTAGGGGTGTGCGGCCCGCTTCCCAAAACCCTTACCCCATTTATGACCAATATCTTCGATTTTCCCAACCCTATATATGACCTAACCAAAAATTCGATTCTCTTTTTATGACCATTGCGGCTGGCGCAATTGCCCTAAACATGATTTATGAAGGGCTTTTGTTGATGGTCTTATCGATAATGATGAAAAAGTAGCTTCTTCTAAAAAAACAGACCCAATGCAAGAGTAGAGTGCTAAAACCATACATCATTTATGCCAAAATCGATACCCTATTTATGACCAAAACGGCTGAAAAACCATACACTTTGAGGCCGCACATACCTTTATAGCCCATATAAGGGAGTAACCCCGCTCCCCCGGCGTTTGCCAAGCTCCATGAGTAAATACCTGCTGTAACTATGTGTAAAAGAGATAGATCTACTCACACCCTTTACGTCAAGTGCGTTTGACCTCAAAATCCAGCCAAACTAGTCTATATATATATTGATTCAATGTTCCAACTTCAAAGAATGTGTAGAAGGGTCAGCGACACATTTGGAAAACACAGACACACATACAGTTGAAGCCCTGTAAATACAACTCGACCATGAGACAGTCATCTGCGGTGAATTTTGTCTTGCCAGACACTCAGTGCGGGTTACAATCGAACCTCCATGAACGGCCAACTCTTTACAACGGCCACGTTTACTGTTCCAGCGAATGGTCTAGGCATTCATTCTTACTTTAACCTCTGTACAACAGCCACCTCTCTGCAACGACAACTGTCCTTAACTACGTGTCCCAACTGTCAAAGTAAGCTCTTGATAACGGCCAGCAAGTCAACGAAAAAAAAATTGTCATTGTAATAAGTCAGGAAACGTGATCCGTTCCACGCGTCGTTGGTCTCTGTTTCTTTTTTATCGAAATATTTTTAATTGCACTTACGTATTTTTTAAAATAGAATTTTTACACCCCCGTAAAACCTAGGCACCATCTCATATCCATTAGGGAGTTTAAGAAGTTACAAGGGCTACGCCAAGGACAACGTCGATTAAAAAAATGAATTTCTAATTTACCTACGAATCTCGCGATACTCCATAAGCCATTTACTTTGTTTATCACTGTCAAAACTATCATGAAACTGAATCTGGGACACAGCGATAAATTTGAAATAGAAATTTAAAAAGTTAGCCGCTGTGGTTCACGTTCTTCAGACAACGCCGAATTTGGTCATTTTACGTTGTTGTTTTGCAGAGGACGGCAAAGAAATGTACCAAGAATTACGACGGACGTGCACAGCCATTGTTCTCCTCATTAAACCTTTTGTTAAGCGACGTTCCCGTTGCCGTTGCCGTTGCCGTCGTGGTTTTCTTAAACTCCCTAGTGTCTCCCCATAACGGCCACCTCTCTGCAACGGCCACTTTCCTCTGTCCCCAGGCTGATTATTGAGGAGGGATTCGACTGTATATTCTACTGAAGTTTATTCTCTCAAACCGTAAGAGCATCTGCAAAGGGAGGATAGCATTTTCATATTCATATCAATTTAACAAATTGCTTACACTCAGGAAGAATATTCTCATTCGTTTGATTAGCCTTGCATCTTATTAAGTTTCTTTCTTCCAGCCAACCAAGTCCAAACGTTTTGTTTCCTCAACAGATTGCTCGTTTTGTGAAAATATGCATCTGCTAGGGAAATGCAACTGCGACGATGTGAATTGGTGCCGTGACGTACAATGCAATGTACCGGCAAAGTGTGATGAAGAATGTAAGAATTATACGATACACTTTTTAAATATTCAATAGTTGTTTATCTATTTATTTATTTATTTATTGTTTATTCTTTACTAAATACGCCGTGATTGGTTTCTGAAGGCTGGTTTTCTCTTGTGCATGAGCATAAGCAACATATATGCAGACGGAATGCGATGTTAACAACGATCACCTTTCAAAATGCGTTTCATAACCACGCCTTACTGTTTCTGGCATATTGCTTAAGATCATGCTCATGTGTCAGTGGAAACCAGCCTTAAGTTTCCCAATCCCAGAGCTCATCAGTATAAACCATGTTTGACAGCAGCACTGTTACTGAGTAGAAATGACCGCTCTAGGGCTGTACAAGGGGGAGAATTTTTCCTGCATGAGGTAACCGAGAATTGATCTCAGAATACAGCCAGAACCGCCCAAAAAATGTTTCTGATTGTAAAATATATATGTTCGGAATTTCTTTTCTCAGCTCGCCACACTACACCAAGGAATTATAAAATCGATCAGTAACAGTTTCAGAATCTATCAGGCAAAGAAGCTTAAATTTTCCCAATGGAGGGAAAAAACAAAACAAATAAATAAACAAATCGAAAACCAACAACAACACCAGCAAAAAAATCACGAACTCACAAAGGTCATTCTCCCGTCACATTGGAGCAGAGCAAACCACATTAGTCAAATGAGCCTTTTTTCATTATTTTTTTTTTGATATTGATGACCCAATTATTACATCTTGTATTTTTTTCAGGTCATCCGGAGTAATGCAGTTTGAGGAAGTCATTGTCGGTCAGATTAATGATCCTGAACAGTTTCGTTCGGAACATGCGTGAAGAAGTGATGTCAAATATCAACTTCAATTTTTTGCAATTTTTAGATTGAATGCTAGAAAGCACGAGCCTCTTCTATGTCAACAACAACAAAAATACACGAAAGACAATAAATACAACGACAACAACAGTAACAGCAGTGAAAACAAAAACAACGACAGTACAACTATTTTATGCATGGCCGGTAGAATTATATTAATTGTATGAATTGAATAAAGATGAAAAACATTCAGTAAACTGATTCACACATTTGCCCTGTTTATGTTAAAGCCGAGAACCATTCATCTAATTGCCTCTGATATAGGTAATAGACTATTTCCGAGTCGTCGTGCAAAAATAAGTTTGATTTGGATGAAAATGAACTTATAGATGAAACGCATTTTCGTAACAGTGTTTTCGCACGAAGACTCTTTTTAACGGAGAGGCAAAGACAATTCGCAAATGGTCTTTTTAGCTGGATTCTTCTAGTGAGGCTCGCTACTATTGTTGAAGCGACCCTTTTTATTGAGCTCGAGTCATAGTCATGTACATTTCCAGAGAGTAAGATCTTCTCTTGTTCCGAGTGTACATCTTTAATGTCAGTGGTGTCGATGGCATTTTCTTCCACTTGGGTTCTCTTGTACTAGATGTTTTCCAACTTATCGAGTGGCATTTAGAGCAATCAGTTTTGCCACGATCAGTCAATGATAAGGAAACCGATTTAATAAATGGATTTAAAAATAAAACTATGTTAGTTCGGCCGATTTGTTGTAGAAACCTAGCTAACTGCAAACTTGATGATAGAACCCATTTGGTCCGAACATTGGCCTTCGTGTTCAAACAAGGCAGGATGGCGCCATAGTTGTCGGACTAACTGGATAAGTTGGACTCTGCAGCTGCAAGACTTTCTTACTTAGTTACGCCTATTTACCCCGCAAATTTGTCGAAGCATTACAAGTGCATGAGAATTTAACAGTAACACGACGCCATGAACTTACTACACGTACTCCGATAACTGGAACAAAAAAATGCATAAATTGTAAAACAGCATTTACAGAAATTTTCTACCGTGAAACCTGTATTAAGCGGATCCCATATTAAGCGGGCACCCTCTATTAAGTGGACACCAGCTTACGTTGCAAAATTTTCCTCCTACAGTTACTGTAAAACAAACCTGCATTCAGCGGACACCTCTGTTAAGCAGACGCGGACACCAATATTAAGCCATTTTGTTGCGCAAAAGCGGACACCTGCCTTAAGCGGACACTAGTAGGGGTCGCAAGGGTGACCGCTTAATACAGGTTTCACTGTATTTAACAGAACCATCGTAATTAAAAGGTATCGTTTTTGTGAACCGATTTTATTTGAAAATGATAACGGAAAAGTTATGTCGACACATTTAAAAGCCTCAGCGCGCTACGCAACTACTGGTAAAAATAGTTCCAAAAAATATATACATATTCGACCTGCCCCTTTTAAAATGGTTCAGGTACTTCCTTATGGTTTAAAAATATCTCCATCTAAAATTTATGATTAACAAAAGTATAACTAACTTATGGTCAAAAATGGTCACAGAAAGGAAATTTCTAAAGTTTCCGAACTATCCTACGATACTTGAAGCTATTTTTTTTTTCGAAAATGTCGCTACAAGAGAGGATTTTCTTCTAACTTTGCAAATAGCATTTAACTCAATAGGTTTTGGCACGTCAGGTAATTAAAAGGCGGATAATTTGAAATGGAGTTAGAAATACGATGATTCCGGTACAACTGATGACTTGAACACTGCCTTACATACTCGTCATTTTACAGCGCAATCCTTAAACGTTTCTTTTCCTTTGTTTCCTTTGTTTTCAGCCCTGCTCCTCTTACTCATGTCTCTTGTGAGCTTAAGCGACAACATTTCACTACCTATGATATAAGTTAAAAGATAAGTCAAATAACATTTTGCGTTCTTGTTTTGACAGTATTTTAACGCTTACTGAATGATTACCGCCTTCTTAGAACCCCCACTCCGCTCCCCCCTTATCCTCTCCCGCTTCCCGCGCTTTCTACTCCCACCTATTCTCCCGGGCTCCCGTCCCCCTGTCGCCCCCCCTCCCCCGGCTTGATACCACGCAGTCAAAACTTTTAAACCGTGAAGCACCTGGAATTTACGAACGTTGTATTTTGTCAATTTATCTATTACAAACAGACTTTTTTAACTGGCTGTCGAATATCAAATAAGCTGCTAAAATTGGTCAGCCAACAGTTCTGGGAACCGCAAACTCTGCCGTCACTCAGAAGTCCTTGGTATGACACAATGTCACGCAACCTGTGGCTAGGCATGCCACAAGTCGACTTTTGCTTTTAAAATCTTCGTCCTTTGCTTATAGCTTATAAGTCGACCTCTGTTTACAAAATCTTCGAGCGAAGACGTCGCGAGCGCGAGCGACGTAAATCGCTAAAGATCGACTTGTTTCACTCGCTGGGATGTCAATCAGAGCGTAACTTTTTGGCGCGAAAAAAACTTTTCATGCGCTCCGCGCGCGGCTGACTTGATTACCACTAAGACATTCGCGAGTACTGTCCCCTAACTCAAATGGAGTCATTTGTTTATAGTGCATGGATGTAGTCAGTAAAACTGACAAACGGGGAAAGCTGTTCCAATGAGAAATGCCTCCTAAAGGACGCAGTCGTGATTGTATTTCTAGTCAGTGAAAATTTTTATTTGACAAATTTCCGGTTGATGAGGCTAATTCGCCTTTATTATACATGCAAAATTTCCGGAATTTGGAGGTAAATAAAACTATTCAACAATGAAAATAATTATACTGGACCGATATAATCAAAGCTTAACACGCGCAAACAGTTCTCTTCAGTCGTACATAATATTAGTGTGTGTATTGAAGACAACTGAGTAGCGAGCGTGCACAGCTTTAAAAGACTAATGGTTTGTTTGGGCTTGAAAAACCAATGATTTAAATTGAGTTGGTAACAGCGACCGTTAACAGGAGCCCAAAATGCGCGGGCGATGCAAATTAATGCATATCACAGTGTATTGCCTTAGAACAAGGCACCCTTAAAATAATTCTTTATAAATAAGGCGCGAAGGATTGACGGATCTTCTTACAATATAGCACACGACAGGGTGTGATCTCGAGTCTGGAAAATTTGACAAAGTAGCTCTAGCAAAGTGATAAAATCATCCTGTCAACTGAAGATGAAGCCTATATTCCTAAGTTTGCTGTTTCTGTCCGTTGTCGTCTGCAAAGCTGCAAAGTTTCCTTTTCACCTAGAGGACCAATTCCAACAGAGACAGGGTAAGAACTACACATTGGCATAATGTTATTGCGGTTTCAATGAATGCGATACAAGAATACTAGATACCCTGAATAACTCATTCAATTCTTCTTAGAATAGTAGATTTTCCTTTAGCATCGTCAAGTGATTTCAAGTATTATTTTGACTTTGTAGGTTTAGAAGTTTTTGAGCTTGGGCAACTATAAAACCTTGAGTTTTCGACACTTAGAAAATTTGCGAGTTTTTACACCGATTCGGAGTCAACCGTTTTGCATTTTCACTAGTACATAAGTAATATACGGGGATGGAATAAGATGTTGATAACAAGCACCTTTTGTCAGGGAAATGTCTAAACGAAATGCGCTTCACAACAGCACCTTACTGCGTCTGCGCATGATTGCGCTTGTGAAAAACCAGCCTTAAGTTTTCCAGTCTCAGGGAGTTCATCGGTATAAACTATGTTTGATAGCAGAACTGTTACTGAGTAGAGATTGCCGCTCAAAGGCTGAGATATAAGGAGGAAAACCTTTCCTGCATGAGGCAGCCCAGAGTTGACCTCAGAATACTGCCAGAATAGACCGCAGGATAAATCTTATAACAAGGATGCCCAGCTTCAAAACACTAGTGAAACCTTGATGTTCACCAGAGTTTTCTCGACACTGAGAAACAGATGGAGAACTAAATAACCGTGCATCACCAAAATTAACTACCAAACATAAACGAATCGAAACTTTCCTTTGTTGGCCGGAGACGTGCGGGAACCACCCAAAAAATACATCTGTGATTTTATTTTATATATGTTCGGATCACTGAGAAAAATTCGTTTTTCAGCTCACACCAAGGAATTATAAAATTGATCAGTGACGTTTTCAGAATCTATCAGGACAAAGAAGCCTAAATTTTTCCAATAGAGGGAATAAACAAAACAAACAAATAAACAAATCGAAAACAACGACAACACCAGACAAAATAATCACGAACTCACAAAGGTCTGTTCTGGAAAAGTGCAACTTGGCAGTAAATGCCAAAACTGTAGTAAAGCTTAAAAAATTGCCATTCTCCTGTCACATCCTTTCATTCCTTCAGAACAAACCACATTAATCAAATAAGCCTTTTTTCCTTTATTTCTTTTAATATCAATGACACAATTATTACTTCTTATATTTTTTTCAGGTCCTCCTGAGTAATGCAGTTTCATAGAGTCATTGTCGGTCAGATTGTTGATCCTGAACAGTTCAGTTCACAGGCGTTGGAATTTTCCGTGGAACATGCGTGAAGAAGTGATCTCAAATATCAACTTTAATTTTTTTCACTTTTAGATTGAATGCTATAAAGCACAAACCTCTTCAATGTCAACGACAACAAAAACACAGCAAAAGACAACAAAAACAACGACAACAACAGTAACAGCAATGAAAACAAAAACAACAACAGCATAACTATATTATGCTAGGCCGGTAGAATTATATTAATTGTATAAATTGTAAAAATTCAGTCTTTTGTTTTATTGGTCAGGAAAGGTCGAAATGTATCGAAAAAGTCATGTGGTTTAGATTTCATTTCTTCAGACTTTCTGTACCAGTATGCAGTAAGAGCTTTCCTTCGTTCACGAGTAGCAATATTCGATATCTCTTTTTAAGTTCAAAGTTTTCTGGTATGCGCTCTTTTGCAAATTGAATGGCATATTTCCTCTTGTTTCTAATAGCCGCTTTCCATTCTTTACATATGAAACATACATCTCTTTCACGAACCCGTTTCTTTCTCATGGGAGCATGTTCATTTGCAATACTATCGAAAAGATTTCTCCAATAGTCATAAGCATCATCTAAATCATCAAAGATTTCACCAACATGCCATGGAGCATCAAGAAGATCCTTGCTAAAGTTGTCAAAGTCAGTAGTTTTAGTTTGTCGGTGGACTAGAGCCTTGGTTGTCGGTTTTTTAACCTTTTCTGTCATTTCGCCATAAACCATACTGTGATCACTGATGTCGGGGTTGTCTTCGCCGCAGTTCTTAAAAAGATCAGGGTTATTTGTAAGCATTACATCAATGAGTGTCTGCGAGTTTGCCGGACCCTTGTTGGTTCATTTTTAAGGCAGTGTAGGTCATTGACTTTTTCTAGGTCCCTCAGGATTTTTCTCTCGCTACGATCTAACCGTAGTCTGTCTAGATTTAAATCACCAACAATAATAACAGTTTTCTTTTTGAAACATGCCCATTGACAGATGCTGTTTAATTCACTCTTGACTCTTTGTAGGTAGTTTCCGCAGGTTTTATTTTCTTTCTTGGAGTTATTAGGCGGTCTGTAAATTGATAGTACCAGAATATCTTGTCTGCCTATTTTAACATCAACTGCTATAACTTCTAAATGTTTTACAGGCCGTTGGCAGAGTGAGCTTTCTTGATGGAATTGTTGTTGATATATAGACAAGTAGGCCACCTCCTCCTTTCGCTTTGTCCTTGCGGAACATATTGTAACGTTGCAATTTGAATTGACTGTCTGGATAGGATCGGTCGATTTTAGTCTCCGATATCACCAATATTTGTGCTTTCAGAGATCTGTGCAGAAGAGTTAGATCTTCGAATTTGTTTTGGATGCTGTTTATATTCAAATGCATTAGGAGGGCGTTGCTTGAGTTCACTTTTCTTTGGTCAATAATGGAGCTATTGTTTTCATGACAGCAGGCTTTGTTGTGTGGCCTTTGTCCGTGGTTTGGCGAGATATTTGCATATTCTCCTTCTTGGTCCTGAATAATGGCGGATATTTCGAAATCATTTGATATGTTAGATTCAGCATTAAATCCTAGATCAGAGTGGTTGCAAGGTGGTAGGCAACACCAGTTACAAATCCAGTCGATATGCGGATAGTCCAAGTAGTGTTTGAATTGTGTATTGGTAAATCCGAGACATTTTGCATGCGACCAGGTTTCGCAATTAGCACATAAGATAGCCTTCTGATTTGAACGAACATTCCTCTGACACTCTTTACATGGGCATTTGACTTTAACTGCTGGTCCTGGTTGAGGGTGAACATCGCCACATAAAGTGATTCGATCAAACTGGAATGAACTGGTCCCATTTGCCGTGTACAAAACTCGTGATTTCAGATATGAATTACCACGACCGTGTAGTTGTAGACGAGCACTGCAGAAAAGTTTTGAGTAGAAGGTTGAAAATAGCCTAATCATTTGGGAATCAGCTCTAACCTCATTCTTACGATATGTGATAGCGTATAAACAAAGTGCTAGAACAGCAATAAGCAGTTTCCCGGAGCCATATTGAGAGCGTCTTTCCGCCATGATTAGTTCAAAAGAGGACCGCACGTTTTTCTTTTCCATCCTGTAACCTCCACTGCGGTAAACAGGCGATGAACTAAGTAAGACGATTGCTCTATGCATTTCTGGTGTTCTTAATTAAAAATTGGAAATCATACTTCACGATTACCTTTTTTAGGGTTGGTTTTTATCCTTGTACTAACACGTGCGAAGAGCTTTGAAGGATGCATTAAATCCATTCCTACATAGCTGTTTTGGAGTCCCTATCGAACTCCACCCACAGATATCGCCCAGTGGATCGCAGCGGGGATGGTTTCTCATCTTCACAAAGTTCTTCTAATCTAGGGGAACTTGCATTTTGCCCATCTCTACTGAATTTCAACATGGTCACACGTGCACAGTGATGGAATGGCGCAATACTCTAGTCATCAAACATTAGCTCCAGCTGATAATTTTCAAGAACCTCAATTATCCATGTGTACGTGACACTGACTAGGTAGCTTAAAGGAAATCCTAGACTAGTGAAGCTGTCGTTTGTACCACGTAGTACACCGTTTGTTGGGCATTCACTGACATTTAAAAGACAAGAGACATTACAGAATAAAAGCTAGAGCGATGGGAAATTTTTTCTCAGACATTGACTCGCATCTACAAAAAGAGAATTGCATGCTAACAAACAGGAAAGAGGAGGAAAGAAAAAAACAAACCTCAAATAATGGTATAAAAATTGTAAAAGATTACGGTTATGATTTATTTTTCTGGCATTTGATATCTGTATCATCTTTATTAGCCATGATGACCAGTAATAATAAGGCGAGGACTTGTAGCCATTCAGGGGGTCGTCTTTAGCGAATTTCTCATCGGAACGTTAATTTCGTTTTGTCATCTTTGAGAAAGATGACAAAAAGTTTAGCAGTCGCCATTTTGCTGACCATTGCCTCTGATCTGAACCAGAAGAATTGACTAATAAATGTACGGGAATCATTCACATTGAAAATATGTCGCCACGTCCAAATTGCTGAATTGTTGTAAAAACGGAAGAAGGAAACACATATATGTTCGTTTGCGAAAACCCACGGCGTTATCGCACAAAGGTGAGACCTGAGCCAACTAAGATCAGAAGTAATCACAAGAAAGAGAAAACAAACAGCGGTAACAAACATAACAAATAGATAACGCATGGTATATTCAACTTGACGTTCGTATGTTACAACACACATCTTCAGAAGTGACGGTTACAAAATATGACAAAATTTTAAAAGACTAAAACTAAAGTGACGTATTCAAGTTTTACAATTAGTTTTAAATAACCAGGTATTATAGTTAGTACTGTTATGTGGCTAGAAAATCTTTACCTCAACTTAAAATAAAACGATTTTACCTTTTAAAAAACGAACAATATTCTTCTTGATTATATGTACATCTGTGATTTATATATATTCAAAAAAGGTTAGCCACAGTGAAATGTACGTTAATCAATCTTTCAAGTCCCACAGTGGGACTTAATTTCTTGGAAAAGGAGGTTTAGAACTAAAATAGGATCTTCTATACTATATTCTATTCTATTATATTCTATATTCTCTATATTCTATATTCTATTCTTCTTATATTCTATCCGTTCTCGTACCTTTCATGCAAATTACAATATTAAAGTATTAAAAAGAAAAATGTGTATATAGCTTTTAGTATGATAGAAGTATGATAGAAGCATAAATAAGATTTAATTATTAAATCGATGATATAAAAGGAGCCAAATACTATTTTCGCCAACACATTTACTTTTTATGCAAAATCTGCGCCCTCTATTTGACAATTAGACTACGAGTTCAAGTTTTCTATTTAATAATTAGATTATGAGCTCGAGATTTCTATCGCGTGATAGTTCAACGAGGGCGCAGCCCGAGTCAGCTATCACGCATAGAAATCGACAGTGAATAACCTAATTGTTTTAATATAAATCTACAAGTCGTTTAAAACTTTATCTAAATCCTCTCCACACACACCTCGAAATCGTCAAGAAGCGGCCGTCATTTGGTCGCAACCGCAAACTGCTACGCTACTATCTACAACAGAATAGATAGCGAGTAGCGTAGCCAATCAGAGGACGGCATTCGTGGTAGTCTAGTAGATTTATACTAAGAGCGAATAGTCAACGAGGCGTAGCCCAGTTCACTATCGCTCTTAAAAAACGAGAGCGAGTAGTCTTATTGTTTTAGTAGACATTCAAGACGATGGCGCTCGCTCGCTCGCTCAAAATGCATCTGCATTACAAGATTTTGTCATTAATTTGGTTTTATAACCAAAATAACACTACAAAACAAGCTAGTGGTCAGTCAGGCTTATGCCCCGTCAACGTTGTAACCATAACTGTTACCAGGTTCAGGTTCTCGGATATCACAGAGGAATAAATTGAAATGTAGACGCTACTAAAGTTATGCTCGATTATTTCAGCGCAATCTGTTACATAGCTCTAGCTATGGGAAGTTTCTTTCGCGTACATATACAGTTCGTGATACATGTATATATGAGGTGAAAAAGTCTCTTATTGGCATAGAAGCCATATAAATATGAATTCATACATTCATTGTCTAGCACACTCTAAAGAGAGCTTGTTATCGGTATCTATCAACCTGCAATATAACGGTTTAATTAGACTGCACCTTCTACACTTGCTAGTGTCATGTAAATATTAACTGCTGATATCTTCTTTTATCTTAAGGTCATTCCCCAGTATTGCATTGCGCATCCCTACTGCGCATAATTTCACGTGTGATAAGCGCGCGCGCATTAAAAAATGGCGGCTCTTTCTTTACAGCTGGACCTCGCCATAGAGGTAAATCGTCATTTTCTCGCAAACGAGTATGGTGACCTATCATTTTTTTCTGTTGTTTTGAATTGAGTAATAAATTTCTCTGTGTAAAATAAATATGGACCAATTCTCAGTGAAGAACAAAAAGCAATCGTCGGAAACATGAATTTAGCAAGCAATCGTAACTACAATCATGGTGCTATTATAAGGATTTATATGGGTATAAACAAGGTGCTTTTGCTCCTTAACGTTAACGAACATGGGAACCCCTCATTTTTATTTGAAAATTTTAGTTCCTATGATATAAACAATCGATAGGCAAAGTTTCACAAAAATCTCAGTGCAGGTTCTACTTCAGCGGAATGACCTAAAGTTATGTAGTTATTATTGTTCACTTGTACAGACGTTTATGACACGCTGCAGCTGTAATGTTGTTGCTACTTTTCTTCGTTCCTGTACCGACAAATCCGCCAGAAACATCAAGTTAAAGCTTGCCAAATTCACAGCTCAAACTGATATCTCCTCCTGGGCTTCCGCCGGCTTCTTTTGTACTTGAGTAGCTTTCCGCCTGCGATGTTTGCGCACCAGGTAGATTGTCACCACAACTACAATAATTGTGATGATAATAACTACCACTCCGATCACGATAACAAGGCGTGGAATGCCCCTCTCACCTGCAGGGTCTCTCCTGGCCTGCTCTGTAAGTTCATAAAAGTAATATGTTAGGCTAGATGCACTAAGACATCAGGCCTACGTAACGGAAAAGAGTAGTCGATCATTTAGGCCCAATTGTGTTGCGTGTTTCTCGACATCTGCAACTAACGCTTTGTAATTAATTTGCACAACAAATTGTGCGCTGTTCCACCTCCTCTCCCCTCTATTTTTTACATTGATGTTTTAGATTTTTGGTAAATAAATGACTAAATCAATCAATCAATCAATCAATCAATCAGTCAATCAATCAATCAGTCAATCAATCAGTCAATCAATCAGTCAGTCAATCAATCAGTCAATCAATCAGTCAATCAATCAGTCAATCAATCAGTCAATCAATCAGTCAATCAATTAATCAGTCAATCAATCAATCAATCAATCAATCAATAATTAGTCAATCAATCAGTCAATTGATCGATCATTGAAGGTTTTCGTTAATTCCCCTTCTTGTATTTAAATATTTGACCCATCTTTAATACATTTGAACTGCCAAAAGAAACAATAGCACTACTTTTAATATCTTCTCTTCAGTTCCTTGCCCCTAAGTGGGGGCCTTATTAGCCATGCATGCGAAAATGACCAGCATCGAAACACTGTACCTCTGCCACATGAGGGTAGCGTTCCATTCAGTAACCCGTTTGGCAAGCAGCTTATGGCATTGGATCCAATCAGATTGTATCCTTCATTACACCTGATCACGAGATCACCTTCATTTCCAACGAGAACTTTGGCATTAGCTATACTTACTTGGGAGCAGTTTCCTTAATAGACAAAAAAAAAAAAATCACACTTAGAGGAGCCAGCTTCTACGCAAGACCTTGTAACCAACATGCGGTGTGCTGGTTGCATAACTGAAGAACAGTTTGGTGGTTGTTTAATTTCTCGGTTATTCTTCTCATAAAGAGTGTTTTCACTCACGTGGCCAGAAGCTATGACAATTCATTGGAACAAAAGGAAGTGTATACATGAGAAAAGAGTTCCACTCACACAGGACGGATGGGGCACACAAAATGGCTGCCGTTTGACTGTTTTGGTGCACCAATATAGCTGCCGTGGCGTGGTGTGAAAACACTCAATATGTGCCATGTCATTGCTTCGTAATGAAATCGAAACGGACAGGATGACGTCCCATAAGGCTACCATGTCTCAAGAGTCTTACAATAAATTGGAAACTTTGGACGCTTCAAATATATACTATGAGGAAGGAGTGTTTTGAAGCAGTTACTACTACCCAGGATATTTTGCACGGACGGACCATTATTTTTTGGCCGATTTGGGAGGGGGGGGGAATGGTGGGCAATTTGATGGGTAATAGCTTGTGCAAGAATTTTTCTAACATCCAAAATAGGTCCTAGAAAGTAGAAAGCACTTGCTCGATTTTTTTTTAGCAGTTTTTGCTGTGCAGGATTTTTTGTTTTTGAGAATTGCCAACCCCCCTCCCTTACGGACTGTAGCACTGAAGCTCACAGGTGTGGTTCGAACTCGACTCATTTATAACAACAATAAAGGGCGCTCTGATGTCCAAAACAAATAAGTCAAAACATATCAGTCAGTAGTATCATGAGCATCCTTTTTAACTCACGCCTTTGGCAAAAGGGAACTTTTCCACTCCAGAAACCATCTTTACCACACACCACTTCCTCGTTCCCGATGAGCGTGAAAGGCCAGTCACACTTGAATTGGTATCGATCACCAAGCATGCTTCCTTGACCATGAAAGTTGCCGTTAGGAAAAGAAATCTCAGTCAACGGCTTGCAGGTAGTTGACACTGATAGGCGAAATAAAAAAAGACATTCTACAACACTTCAGCTTATTGAAAATTGATACGAAATTTCAAGGTAATTACGACAAAATCAGCTTTCATTATATTACACAAAGATAACACCATATCGCTGGAATGGAATCCTCCTACTGCTTGAGAACCCATGGCCATTAACAAAGTAAAAACCAAAAGGTCATAGGCCTTCGTAATGGTGTAGGATGAAACCAAAGGCGAAGGCTGCCTGCTAATTGAATTTTTGTTTTAACATAGTAAATAGTTTCATCCTGAGTGTTTGTAGCTCGTCTAGAGTTATAGTCCTCGTGAGGGAAGTTCTGCAACTGAGAAGTTTGACTGACAGTCAATTTGCACAACCTGAGCAGAAGTCATCGTCAGAGTCGAGTGAAAAGTGTTAGTCAGTCTGATGTGTTGAATTGACTGGTCAATTTAACCGTGATGTTATTGATTGTAAAACTTGCTGTCTTCTTGTAAGTTTAGGTCCATCACCAGCTGAAATTTCCTCTCAAACTACATGAATTCTGGTCAGTTTTACCCGAGAAAAGTTGTTATAATAGACTATAATGCATGACAGACCAGGAAGCCTCCGGAAATTAATTTCTTTAATGGCAACAAAGCAACATTTATTTGTACTGGTTATTGCAAATTAACATTTTATAAAATCACTGACCTCGATAGCAGGTAGGTTTTGATCCATACCAGAACCCTCCACGGCAAGAAATTGTATTTTTACCAGCCATTACGTAGCCCTGGTTACATGTAAAGGAGTGAGTTACAAGGTCACCTGTGACGTTCGTTTGTACCGATCCTCCCACAAGGCTTAAAGTTACACTGCATCCTAGATGGTAACACGAAAGATTATATGTAAACTATTTCACTGAAAAAATTACATTTTACGTTGCAAAGTCCAAAATGTCAATATAGAAATGTTCGTCGTATCTTGACCAAAGAATTGGTAGCCACTCTCCCCGTTAACCAGAGCTCAGTTTTGAGTCTTGACGCTAATCAGACCGATCGCTCAAACCTGGCTGATTTTAACCACGTTCTCGTGTTCGCAGGAGATCGTGTAATCTTCTGAATATCCCCTGATGCCGTTCGTCCTCTCAGCAACGTTCATTTTCCTAACGTGGATGAAAATTGTGGAATAATCTTTCTAATGACTGAGAATGTGAACATTTTCAGGTGCCGTCTGGAATGAACTGGGTGCGTTTTTAAGTAAAAAAGTGATGATTGGGAAAAAATTTTTGATTGTACTTTTTATATGTAAATGAAACTCTAGTGTATATTAGCTATTCTGTACTTTTATATAATATTAAAGCTAAATTTTGTGGCTGAAGTGCCCAGATTGGGAGTTGCAAATCAATTTATGTATGACTGAATGCGTGTATGTAGATGTGTTACCGTATCTCGTCGCGACTAGGGAGGTAATCAGGACAGCATGGGATCAGCTAGTCCATGCATGGTAGGTTATATCTAATATTTTCTTAGGTCACTTCAACATTCTCACCTTCGTCGTGGAGGTCCCTTTTCACGCCCAATAGCCATTCCTGAAACTCCTTGGTAGCTTTACCAACATCTAACCTTCCGGTGACTGCGATGTCGAATATGCACTGGAATGATTGCTCGCACGTCATTAGTGCTCTTTTTCTTTCTCCATTGTTCATCTTGGCGATGATAGGATCATAGCTCTCCATGAACGTTGGAACATAAGAAGTGTCGAAATAGTCCTCGTGCATTTTTCCTTGATTGTAGGTGAATAGGGAATCACTTTTTTTTGTAGCCCCTTAAAGAAGGAATTAAAATATTTAAAAATAAAAAATGGTATAAGCTGGGTGTTTTGATTGTTCTCTTTGCTAGCTTCGTCGTTTCTTTCTCTTTTTTTTTGGCTTGCGTTTATTTACCGTTTCGACAGGTTATTCAGGCGAAGCCTCTGTCAGATTTCATTCACTTTCAACTGTGAACATAAAAATGCAACTAGTCCGGGGAAGTTAAGACAGCATAGTTGTACCACGGTATCTCAAACTTAGTTAGATCGAATACCCTGCTCATGGATCTGCTTTTTCAATCATTTTCTTTCGGATACTTCGACCAACCGCCATCTCGAGAGAATTGTTGTTGCCCTCAAGAGTTTGAGTTAGCGGAGTTCAACTGTTTAAGATAAATTCTGTACTAGGTCTCTCTCTTTCATGAAAGTTCAGATTATTGTATAGAAAACTTACATCGCTGGCCAAACTCATGATGTATTTCGGACATGGTAGAAGCTGTGTTAAGAAATACTTTGTTCGGTAGAAGATACTCTTTGTCAACGTTGTCATCCCAATAACCAAGAAGTCCATTCGTTTTACCTACAAAGATGTGAGACAGGTAAGCTTTGGCAGGAAAACGCATTATTGGCAATGATTATAGATTATTGACCATTAATTATTAATTATATTATCTTAATCTTATGCATCTTCAGATCTGCCACAAATGCAAAAAACCAATCCAAAACTGAATAGCTGTTCTAGATCATTTTATTTTATTTGGAAGTAGAAATCGTTATGGTTGTTATAAGAAAACGCGGTTTGGAAAGGGACGTCAGTGCTACCAACGACAAAAAGTGGAAACAACAGGAGGAAGCTTATTAATATACACTATTTAACGCGGAGCACCTCTTCTTTTGAGTATTACAGTGATACATTTGAAAAAATACATGTGTTTTAAAGGAAGCCTCTGCAGCAAAAAGCTTGCTCTATAATGAGATTTGATTTTGATGCATATTTTTTTATTGGAGCTAAAAATTCCATTTTTTTAACTTGGTGTGATAAAATAATCCAATTTTCAACTTAAAAATATTCATTCAATAAAAGTTACTGTTATGCTTTTTTTTCAGGTTTATGGACCAAACCGCAGGCGAGGTCCATAAACCTACGAAGAAGGAGCGAGACCAATATTCTCCAATACGAACCGAACAAGCTAGTTCAATAACGTATTTATTATATTGACTCATGAACATTATAGGCGTCACCATAAGCATGGCTGATTTTAGATATTTCAGAAGTCATGCAGTAAGCAGATGACGCACTTGAATCTCAGAACGTACCCTTAAACTCGACAGGAACCGCTACTGCCATCTGCAGGACTGCAGCGCTTTCTACATACACAGTGATGCCAGAGCTGAAGGCAAGTATAACTCTTGGGTAGCTTCCTCGCGTCGAATTTCTAATGAACACTCCTGCAGATTGCAATTCGTGGTTATGCTCGATAACGCTTGGAATTCCGTCTATAAGAACTTCTATTAGTTGAAGCTCATTTCGTTGAACCTAAAAAAATAGCGTTTATATTTCATGATTTTACAGTGGCTTGCTCACGACACATGCATGATCCGGCAAATTTTAAAACTGCCAGAACGCTCTTTGGAGAACGCTTGACTTGAGTAATGGAGAAAAATTAAACATTTGATGTTGGGTGGTTTGTGTTAGTAACGGGTCAAGAGTGAAGGAAAAAGTTTATATTGCCCTTGCAAGAAAGTCAACCCTCGCACTCATATTTAACAGGTTAGCGTGCGGTTAATTCCGAATTACAAAATGTAGATAGATCAAGCCCGCCATGAAACCACCTGAGACGACACCAGTTTGTGATTACAGCTAAAAGGTTGACTGCAAGCCCGTTGAGGTTAAAATTATTGCTTAAGTTCGTCCAAACTCCCTCTCATGTGTGTGTATAAATGAACTTTTTCCATGGTTGGAAGACTCACACTAAAGGGAATAGTGACTCACTTGAATCAAGCTACCACCTTGCTGCGTCATTGCGAATGCAGTAAATACTGTGGCCGGTGATTTTCCATTTTGTCCACCGTTCAAAGGTTGCATTCTTCCTTGAAGAACGAACTGACTGTTGTTGACGCTAAGAACTGTATACTCGCCAAATCCATTAAACGTATACTCCACGCCATCAAAGGATATGATGTGAGGATCACCAAATGACGCTCCTAATGGAACAAACATAATAGTCAATTGAAAATCAAGAGAATAAGAATGAATTGAGAGAGTGAATTGAAAGGGAGACAGGAAATCCGAAGAAATTAAAGTTCAAACTTTCACAAAGCACACTATATATGGATTTTTCGACCAAAGTAACTGAGAATCTGGCTATCTGGGTGGGGCTTGTTTCGAAACTTAGCTGTCGCTTTTGTTGCTGTTTTTTAAAATTTTGGCTTGTTATCACGGAGGAAGAATTATTATCTATTCTTTTATTATTTTGAACAATTTATTATTAATTTAACAGTTATTAAGCTAGTAATGAAATCTCTTTATAAAAATTCACGATCGATGAATTTACAGAGTGTGGCTAAGGTATGCTGTGACTTTTCTCAGTTTTAGTTTTTACTTTCATGTTTTTTTTCTTTCTTTTTTTTTTTGTCGTTGAACTGTTGTTTAAATGTAGTGTAGAAATCACATAGATTTGTCGAGGCATTATTACTTCACTGAAAAATTCTCAACTGTCAATGATTTTATTTTACTGAGTCTACAGAACGGCACTAAATCATTCTTTACTTACCAATATTTGGAGGAATGTATAGCGATCCAGATGTCAACAGCTCCTGGTACTTGAAACAGTTGTCTGAAAACATGCAGCATTCTAGGTAAGGCAAGAAGTCCTCCTTAAAGAGTGCAAATATTGAGTTCTTTGGATCGGTGATTCCACTAAGAGGTCCTGCAGTCAACTCTCCTTCGTTGTCATAGCAACATTTCCGTTGTAATCCTCTAACCCTAGGAACCATACAGAGAAACGAACGTTAGTCGGTTCATACTAAGTATGTCTGCAAGTGTTCATGAATCTTTCCATAAGACATTGCTGGGTTGTAAAAAGAGAACAACTTAACAAAACACACTGTAACATTAACAGCTAAAACAGGAAGGAAGAGATTGTATTTCTACTATTTTTGAAATCTTGGTCAAAATCATTCAATATATGAGCAAGCAAGAATGAGGTACAAGGGAGTTAATATCCCGTATACATGTAGGTCTTACTCTCAAGATAATCCTTGTCGAATAATTCTTTACTATGCCCTGTTTTCGAAATCCCAGGAGGATTAGAAATGGCCAATCCACACTTCGCTAGCACGAGCGGCTTTGCGCAAATTTCTGCCCCCAATGAAAACCTCCACGCAAAGTATATAGGCACATCTTTGTCAGAAGAATAGGGTACCGAGTTTAAAAATAACTCCAATGGTATAACCTTGATAACAAGGGTCAATATTGAGATTAAGTTTCTGACCCTTCATGCCCTCATAGGCATGGGGGTGAAACTAAAACACTAAGACAAAACACTTATGGCACTGTACTGATCCACACCAGAAGGGTTGCGTCTTGTAACATATGTCCACATTTTTGTAATAGATCTTACACAGGGGTAAGATCTGTACATCGCACAGCTCGCAGAACACAAAACGTCCCATATCCGCTTCCATCTGCCGTCGAGTCTTTGGGCAAGGAGTCAACGGTCCATAACCTGCCAAGTTAGAGAAAACTCATTTAAAAAATTACAGCCTTATAAATTATATTATATTCATACTTAAAGGAGGATAACCTAAATTGTGTTTGATTCATTATGCACTGCGATTGAAGTTCGTGTAATATAAAGTCAAAAAAGGATAGAGGTTTTCTCTTTGAGGAATACAAACCCTACTCGTCCCTAGATTTTTTAGGTTGTTTTTTTTTTTGCGCAAAGTATTGTCCGTGTTGTTGTTGCTGTTTTTATTTATTATAATTATTGATACTCGCCTTCCATAAAGGACAAATTATTTTCTTGGCTTCTTATCCAGTCTGTGCAGCTTTTATTGGCCAGCGTTTCATTGGTTAAATGGAAGAAATCACTTCCAATCCACTCCTTCGACACATATTTGTAAAAAGCATTGTTCTGTAAGCTTCGGACAAGAATCGTGTGTAACAATTTTGGTGCACTGTGGTCCTTCCTAATGAAAATAACACGCGCAATTGAGTCGTCAAGAAGAGGTAATCAGAATCACCTTTCTTTTACGATGGTGCCGTGTAAAGGTTGCACCACTGAGGTCCTTTACCGGTCTACGAAATAACTGATTCAATAGCTATGTGACGGATGATAGAGCTGATAACATCGACTGGACAGGACTGATAGTTGACCTACACACTTGATGATTAACTTAAGGAACTGCTAGTAGGGGCTTTATTTTACCTTTTTGTGTGTGTTTAAATAATGCAGCAATTCAAAGAATATCGATGAATTACGACGCTGCAGTATCTTCAATAACGACACAACACACTCTTCCGGCAGTGTAATTCCAAGTTACTTCGAGTTCTTCATTCCGTACACATTACTAACTTCTGAATTTATCACATCACGCCTACTGTTAGTGATGTTTTTCAAACCTTTCACGTGTGTTGGGCAAGTGTATTGGTTTTAGTTGGACGTAACAGTCAGCTCTAGATGAGGGTAACCAGTGAAAAAGAATAGCTAATGTTTTACGCGGCCTGACGTTTCCCCAACATAACACCTTAAAAATTCCACAAAAGTGAAACTTTTTTTCTTGGTTATCCGGAATTTCTCTGTTGGACATTGAAGTAGTGAAAAATAAATCAACTTTCGGCTTTTATTACCAAATAAATTGAAAAGACGTCTGTCTTGTTATACACCCACCTCAAAGTCTCCATGTTTGGCAGATCAAACTCAGCTTTTCCTGTATTTAGTTGGTCGCTGACGACAGTGATATTGCTGTGAACTTTGATTCCTTCTTGACCATCAAATAAATTTATGATTTCCACCATTACGTGCTCTACCGCCAACTCTTGGGAATCCCAAGAGATGCCAACGCGGTTACCAAAGGTCCAGAGTTTAGGGTCGCCTCTTTGTATGTATGCATCATAAAAATTGGGAGGCTCTGGAATCCAAGAAAAGCTTTGTGAAACGCGTTTTCCATGAAAGTATTAATTAAAGTTATGATTATGAAAGCGATTTAACTTGAACAAACCTGGCCAACTGGTTTATATTTAGAAGATGGGAATCCAACGTCCCTCCACGTGTATTATATCAATCCATTGAGAAATTTTTCTAATAATTGATACTCATAGAATAACTATATATCTAAAATTTCACGTACAATACAATACGTATAGTTCAAATGTGTTAGGTACAATTATTCAGCCAAGCAATATGCCAAGTTTTTTTTATATTACATAGCTGTTCAAAAATCAACCTTATATCATTGATTAACCTTACCTATAAGGAACACTTGTGCCATCTTTAAGTTAACATCATCAGTGGAATAAAGAAAAAGGGTGACCTCTTTACTCGTTGTTGTCAAAGGAACAGAACAAACAGCTTTAGTTTCGTTGATTCTACGCCCTGTTACGGTGCCTAGTTCACCAAAATCACATCGAACTTCAGCACCAGGACGATAGCAAAGACCACTTATGAGAAGATTGGTCCCACTGTCTACTCTTCCAATGGTCGGATGAATTGATAAAGTTCCTAACAGAGAGAAAAAGAAAGATACCGAGATATTTCCATTAAACAATTAGATTGTGAGTCCGAGATTTCTACCGCCCGATATTTAAGTAATCTATTATTTCAGTAATCTATATTTAAGCAAGTAATCTAATTGTTTTAGTATAAATCTACTAGTCGTTCAAAAACTTAATCTATATCTTCTTCAAAGATACTTCGAAGACACAAAGAAACGGCCCTTAACGTACGCTGCTACGCTACTCACTAACTACAACAGAATAGACAGCGAGTAGCAACGGCACCAACAAGAACCTTTTTGGTACTTTTCCAGGTTCAAGTACCTTGTAAAAAAACTGAACTACACCCTCCTCTTTCTGCGGTATTATATTTATAAGAAAAAGCTCCAGAATGACTCACCATTTCTACTTTCCGACTTTATCAACAAAGTTAAATACAAGTATAAACTTGAAAAAATTATTTAATAATCGTAAAAGCTCCTCCATCCGCTGTTCTTTAGATTTAATATAATTGTAATATAAGTATGATTGTACAGAAAGATTTGTTTTATGTTATTGTAAAAATAGGCTTAGAATAAGTGACGTAATAAGTGTCGAAAACAAAAGATATGACAGGCCTACACAGACGCCCTTCGTGAATTGCGATAGCGATGCATTTTAGCCTTCAATTAAATTTTCGCTCTAACTATCGTATCTTTTAGAGATTTGCCTCTCTCATATAATATATAATCTGTAATTGACACCTTCGTCACCAGATATACTTAGTAGTAAGTCGTTGTCTGATATCATAGTTGCTTCAGTAGGACCGCTCGGTTTCGATTCTTCACGAATCTCTTCAGCTGCTGTTTGAGGCGTGACAACTTTAAGTTGAAAAAATATATATATATATATATATATTGAAATATAAATATTAGTAAAAATGCGTAAATGCTCATGCGAGAAGTCTTGATTTGATTTCTTTAGAATTCATTCTATTTATCCCTTGCCCTCGATAAAACTCTTAAAGTTTTATTTCCCTACGCCTCGAAGCCGTCTAAATAGGCCTATCAAAACCTGAGAGGACAAAAATTATTTAATGAAAAGAAGCAAAATAAAGACTTCTGAAAACGACTTCTAAGGACTGCGCGGCAGAGCACCTCAGTCAAACATACTGATCAACTTACCCTTGCTTTCGCACATATTTTCGTCAATCTTTTTGACGTCATCAATTCTAAATAGCCATACGCCTGGTTGGCCGCAGTTACTTGTATTTACGAGGCCCAAGATGCCGTCCGTTCCAGATACCGACAACTTGTGGTAAGAATATTCGTAAATAAAGCCAATCTATTGAAAAAAACAAAACTTTAAGCTGCGGTTCTCACTAGTGCATAAGCAGACTCAGGCCCCATCCATCCATACCAATGCGTTTGCGTTTGACTATGCATACTTCAGGTTTGATGCGTTTAATGTTCGCTTATCGTCCAGTAAAACGCCCGAAAACGCTAACGAAAACGGAGACTTTAGAATTTAAATGTTTCATAAGTGGAGTGTTTTGAAATTGCACCGTCTTGAAAACGCTCCGGTGCTAATGTTTCTAAGGAAATTAAATCATTTTGACCTAAGAGGATTGCTGTTAACACCTTGCTGAGATTGTGTATCTGTTACTTATGCTTTTTTTCTGTGCGCTAGTGAAAACCAGCATTTTCATATACTGGACGCTTCCGGTTTTATCATGCATTCATGATATTGAACTCGTCTTACATGACTGTGTTTCAAATATCCCTTGTAGCTTCCCTATCGCGACGGTTTACGCGAAACTTTGCAAATGAATCTCTAATGCTATAAAGAGTCTGAATTTTTTGGGTGCCGAGTTAATCTTAGCAGCTTGGTCAAGATTAAATGAAATGTACTTTCTGCTGCATGGAAACATAGTTAGAAACTATGATGGAAAGATGTAACCCAATATAAAGACACTCCTTTCAAATTAATAGCCTGCTTTATGGCTTTAGGAAAAGCAAGAGAGCAACCATGTTTCGTTTGATTTTCCGAATATCAGAACATATGAGATAAGAAACAATTCCTTAACCGACTGTACTTCATTGGAGTAAACTTTTCAAAAAGTGATGTCCCATTTTAGTTCCAAATTTTGCAACTGTGCTTTAAATTAAATATATCAACAATAAATTATTTTAAACTAAGTTGTTAAAAAAATTACTGGAAACATACCTGAGCTGGTTTTCCCCCTAGACCATTACTCATTGCCCCATTCAATGTGTCACTCGTCCATGAAAGATTATCGTATATGTAACCAGCAAATGACATAACTCCATCACTTGTTATGAAAACTTGAAATGTGTTTCGCTAAACAAAGACATAAAGAGAACGTCTAAATAAGTCTTCAAGTTCTGCGGTACCTGCGATCATAGTTCTGCGATGTGGTACACATTGCAACTTTGGAGCTCATTTCCCAAGAACACACAACCCTGGTGGAACTTACGTTCTGTGTGTATATACCGCTGGCTGCATAGAAAGTTACTTCATCCCATGTGACGATAACTACCCAGCTTGCCATATATCCTGTGTAACGTGGAAATGCCCTGATCACGTCTCTTGTTGCCCGGGAAACGATTGCATCATCAGTTGTTTTTCGGTACCAGACTCTACCGCCTCTTTCTGTGTATACGTCAGCCCAGTACGGAGCTGCTGCAAGAGCTTCATTGGTCAGCGGAAATAATGCTGGTGATTGGTCGTTCAAAGTAGAACCAAACGAAATGAGTCCATTTTCGTGAACCTGAAAAGATCGAAGAAAGACCAATTAACTCTAAGGAGCTTGCCTGTCATAAAATTTATTGAGCACCCAGATCAAGTTTGAATTTGCGGAGTTGGGTTTTAAAGATTGAGGAAAAGAGTAGAGCCTCTACATAAACCTTGAAGCAAGAACGAGAAACAGCAAAACACTAAACCAAGCCAGTTTGGTGTGAGGAGAGTGATCTGTTTCATGCGATGAACGAAATATACTAAAACCGCCACTTAATAAAACTCCACTTATGAAAAAAGTCCATTTGCCATTAATTACATTTCCACTTACTACCTTCTCATTCATTTCTATGTATTTATTAATTCTCATTATGTGCGGGATTTTCTGATGTTATGCGCGGTTCAATGTGTATTTCGTATTAAGAATTCGACTACGTCAAGGCAATTATGATTTAAACAAAAATTGATGCGTTGAATCCCCAGGTTTGGAGTCATCTAGAGCACAACAAAACAATTAAGTAAAAAGTTTCTTGGTCCTTATAACGCATGTTGCTAATTTTAGAATATCATTTTAAACCATTTTTCTTCACTGTCATATTTTCTTCTGCTACATAACCGCCATAACAGTCCTCGTGTTTTACTGGTACAGCCAATTTCTCTGAGTGCTTTTATCTGGAGAGTGCCAGACTTTTCGTGGCATATAAGGGAAATTATTGTTCAAATCTACTTGTTTAATGATACGCTAATGCTATTTATTTTTAATTTGCATGCTATCTTATGAGTTTTAAGTTAATTACAAGAGCGAATTAAAATAATTCAACAACAGGTTCCCTGTTTTTGAATATTTACAGCTCAGGCACGCATACTTGAGGATGAATATCATCGCATTGTTTTTGCACATAATTAAAAAATAAACAATGGATATTTTCACTTTGCGTCGATAGTCTTCACAAAAGTATATATATTGTTGTAGAGATTTAAATAATACCCACAGCACCTCAAGGTTGTTTAGTTTGCTTCTTGTTAAGGTATTTCTAATTCACTTCCCTGTTCCGTTTTTGCGGTCACAAATTTAAATCCATTAGCTACTTGATGAGCTACTTCACCTAATCAGCTACTCATCTTAAAAGTGTTTTTCGTGTCTTCATAAATAATAAATAACACCATTAATGGCCTCTCGCATTGATGATTTTGAAATTATGCCACATTTGGATTGGAAGCCATTGAAACACTTAACGGCCAGAGTACATGTAACAATATTCGCCCTAAATTTTCTGTAACACCATCGTATCTGAATCAATTGTGAAAGGGCCGCATACCTAAATGATCTCTCGGGCACGTTCTGGTATTCCCACGATATATTTACTCGTCAATGTATTTAAGTCATTGAAAACAATGATCTACTAACTTAAGGTGTGTAACAAAGAAGTCAAATTTCAAAGTGACTCGATCGATTAATTTATATTTAAGGCCATATTTTGTACATGCTTGTCTTAAGATTTTCCAAATTTCAGTCGAAAAGGTGACCTTCTGCATTAAATTCTGTTGAAGAAAAACTTGGTAATCTGAGTGTCAAAATAAAATACCCCCGCCCCAGCGACACTGAAAAAAATGCGCCGGTACCCGCTTTCTATTCTCTTCTTTATAAATACCAATAGCAAGTTATTATCGTTGTGACACTGAGACTGATTCTATGATTAAGAACCGCGATGGCTAGTTGTAAAACAAACCTGACACTATATTTATAATTCCTTTTATAGAAAGATAACTTTATACCGGAAGGTTATACATTTCTGTTCAAAATAACCAACAATTCTTGGTCAGTGTTAATAAAGTAATATATTCTTTTACCTCCAAACAATGTTGTACTTTAAAAGCGGACAAATCGTGAGATTTTAATGGCTGTTACGAGTTTTTAAGAATAACCTTGCTGAGATGAAAGCCAGATCAATTCTAAACAAGTTAAATTATTTATCTTGCACTTTATGAAAGTGTTGCTTCCAAGAATTTTCTAGAATTCGTAATGAAGGTAATTATTTCAAAATTGAAACTCGTGAGGCAGTTAGTAGAAAACAGAAAATAACTTAAGACGCAATTTTTGCTTTCAACGACATCGAAATATATAATGAATAGTAAAACGGAACATCAAAATGCGTGATTTATAAGTGCTTATTCCAAAATTTGTTAGCTAGTGTCAGCTTAGAAACTGATGTAGGAATTAATATTTTCTACAGTTAATAAGCAACATCTAGACTTCAACTAAGTTCCATATAGGGCCTTGGTTATTTTAAACTTAGGAAGAAACAACAAAACAAACAACCACTGACTAATGGGCATATTCCCCTCTGTAGTAAAATGATTCCAAGACCAAACTTGTTTATAGATAATGAAAACGAAACGCAGGCGGCAAATTAATCCCAGGATAAAATGAATGTTAATCAACTTCAACTAAACAGTTGGAACGCGAATATTCAAACGTTTAGAGGCTGTTTTCGCAGCTAATACTTACATATATAGTACTGACATTCAATCCAAAGAACCAAAATGGCGGTGTTGATATGGCGTCTGAGCTCACGTCATCTTTAACAGGTAAATGCAAATCGTCAACGTCTTTTCCAAATGGATACAACTTCGAGGAGTACGAACCACCGACAGGGTCCAGAAATATTGCGACGAAGAAAAATATGATGATGAGTTTAAGAAGTGTGGTCATGATTAATACGTTGTAGGTTGTAGTCTTTATACTTCAGTTCAGCGAGGGCACACGTCGGAGCCATTCATAATCACGTCTCGGTGTTCAGAAGGCCTCAGAGAAATGCAACATTTCGCTGATAAATACACGATGTTCAAAGCTCGAAAATTATTTTACCCGTGCCTGCTGTGAATGCAAAGCCGAAAATGATCAGAACCACAAACCGTGCTTCAATTGATTAAATGTTGGTTGGTCAAATACGAATGACGCTTGCACATATAAAAAGTCATTCACGCGAGTAATTAACATGAGGGTAAGATACTAGAAATTGAACACCGCGTGGTCAAAACCAGACACTTCCTAAAAATATCGTCAAATAAAACTGAGCCATGACTATCACTTGTATTGCAGTGTAATTTACATCCGAACGCTTATAATTGACATTTGAATTGATAAAATATTTCTGTGTTTATTTTAATATTTCAAATATTTGACAAACCACCTGTTTAATATTGCTTTTCTGTTTAGTCTCTTTTTAACGTTTGCTTATGTACTTTTTCCTGAGGATACAGAATAAATCAGTGATAACTTTGTGGGAAAGTGCGAAGCTCCTTTGTAAAAATCATCTTCACTACTGTTAAATAGAGTATGTTGGAGCCTTAAGCAATGCAAGTTGAGATTAGAAAGAAAGACAAAAATTTAATTTATTTCAAAAGTATTAAAACTCGTAATGCATTCAAAACATGGCGACACATAATTATGAATATATAACATAGCAGTGAATGTTTGCGGTGAAAACCGACTTATTACTAGAAGGAAGATAAAATAAACATAGATCTTTTTCTTTCTCGTAAGTAAAAGTTGACACCTTTTTAGGACAGGTAAAGAAAACAAAATGTCAAAAATTAAAACATTCTGAGTGCTTCTTACGTAGTTTACAAAACATACTCATTGACAGAAAGCTCAGTATTTCAAAACAGTTGGGGATGGGTAAACGAATCTAATAAAAACATGATAATGGTACATGCAGGTATAAGCTAATAGCGTACCGTCCAACTACCTTTTAAATAATACGAACAAAAAACAGCAACATCAGCATGAAACTCAATTTGTATACAAATAATAACACTGACCCTTTTAAGGTGGGCTAGGAGGCATGCATTAATTTAAAATGACGGTTTGGCGGCATATCAAACGCGGTAATTTCGCACATAAAATTAGCGAAAAAGATCGATGATATATTCCAAGTAAGGATAATGTCGATCTTCAATATTAATAACCGTTGATCTTAATCTTAATATATAGTTTTTCACACAAAGTTTACTTTGTTTATTTTAAAGCCTTCAAACAAAGAAAAGTGTCATCTCTCACGTCGACTGGCATGTACAATGAGCAGAATTTTTACAGTTAGCATTTTGTTAACAGACAGTGAATGTGATTATCCTCTGACCTTTGATAACTAGACGTCGTTGGCCGAAGAAAATGAACAAGTTTTTGTAGACATCGAACGTGACAGCACTAAAACATTTCCATTATCATTGAAGGCCTCGGGGCATATTTCAATTCACTTAGAAAGTAGAAAGATGCCATGGAATACTAATTTCTTATTATCAGGCACGGATAGCTAGTAAACGAGTTACGTCACGCTTTGCGCATCTTGAAAACTTGAGCCTAAACTTTTTAAGATCGTCGTTTGTAATTGTGTCAACCTTCTCCATCCTTCAGTAACCCTTGCTCCTTACGGTTTATTTTTCTACCTTAGTTAACTATCATTTTCAGGTCTTCTTCAATTTGAAGGTAATTTTGTACGTGGCCAAAATAATTCAAAATACCGTGACTGGACTTCTTCTATTAGGAGCTACATCATGCTATTTTAACTCATTCTTCTCACATACAAAATTTCTTTTTAAATTCAAGCTAGGAAACCTAAAATGGGTTTATTAGGTAAATAACACGAAAGAAGTGGCAATAGAGCGGTTTTCAGTTAAGTGTCGAAAAATAATTAGTCGCGCTACTTTTTCATCCAATCAGAAGTCAAACCAAAACCAGTTGTGACTCAAAGGACTTTGCTCAGTCCCAGCACTCTTCTGTGCACTATTTTTTCATCCTGTTTTATTCTCTTCACTTCTCCTCACTCCACACACAGGTTGTACCTTCAGTTACTCCTAGCTACGTTTAAGCATCCGTTTGTTTGTTTATATGTTCCAATTTTCTAGCCAGAGTATTAGAAATGGTAGTTACATGTCATCGCTTGTGCGTGCATTGCGTGCCGTTTATTCATATCTAACACGTACACTGTACAAGCAAAGTATGGTATAAAAAGGGAGGGAGGGGTGCCTTGGGTTTACGTTGTAATGTTACGTTGTGATATGACATGCTAAAATTATTTTAAGTTTATTAGATGGCCCTCAGTATGCACCACAAGATGAGATGCCTTTTTTGGTTATGGTATCATTGACTCTTTCTCATTATGCTCATCTCCTTAAATCCGCCGTCTTGCAAAATGACAAGGAGATTAAAAAGGTACTGATTCTAGTATGGTCCTCAAGGAATTAGAATTAACTCAGCAAGGCTAATTTTCGCTCAAACTGCACGTCATAAGTATAATTCGGTGGATATGGCAATGTCAGCACAAGTCAAACATTTAACAGATCAAACTATCAAACTTCTTAAAAGGAATAAATGAACAGCTATAGCCATTGAAAGCTTCAGCGTAACGAAGTAATTCCTCTAAAAACTCTAAAAGGATGGCATCCACCACCGCCCCTAGCCTTCCCCTAGAACGCCTGATGGTTAATTTGTTTGTCCTTGAAATGATTTCGCCATAGGCGTACGGGCACCTTCGGACTTGGGGGGATGCGGTGACCTTCTTGCCTGAAAAATTTACGCAACGCCCGAATGCAAGAGTGTTGAAATCGGGGTGCAAACGAACTCAAATAGCATAAAAAAAAATGTTTACAATTCCCACATCTTATGAAATTGCTATAATTCCAAAAATAGTCATATTCAAAGCTTACATAATCAATCAATCACACTCTGTCAACAGTCTCAATCCGAGTAACATCTAAAACTTATTAAAAGAATAAATTAACGGTAACTAGAAAGTTTATTTACCAGTCTTGGAAATCACGCCAACAGCATTGTTTTGTAATGTTTTCTCTCAAGTGTCGTTGACCGAACCATTAGCGTTTTGCCCGAAAAATCACATAATTTCCGTAGCTGGGGGGGGGNATGGCGCCTGTGTTTCTGAATCCAATATGGGCTTTAGTCCTGAAGGAAATAACAAACCGCTAAGATGCTACGTTGGACTAAACAGTGCCAAAGTGTAACCCCGCCCCCGCCCCCGCCCCCTCCCCTCCAGCTCGTACGCCTATGGATTTCGCTTAATCAGTTTCCTATTATGCTGGTACTTTGTTGGTATAATTTTCTAAAACAATTTGAACAAAACAGTGCGAGCTGACAAAACGCTGCCATTATAATTCGCCATGTTTTACCGAGTCCTTTCAGTACATTCATGATTATCCTAACCTTACAGTTACATATGTGATCGAGTCAAGCTGCTGTGTCACTAACAGTTTTGCTTGCATTGCAGACATAAAAAAGTTGTACCCTGTCGATTAGTCGTCCTACTGTCTAGTGCAGAACTTCAACCAAATTTTTGTCCTTACTGCTGCAACTTCCTCAGTCATCATAGATGGAAAATATATGTTTTACTTTAAAATACAATTTATTAAAATTGGGCATCTCTTCTAGGGAAAAATTAAGAAGAACGCTGATGTATTAAATTTAATTCCGTCAAGAAGCTTTCCTTGCAATCTGCCGTTATGCTAAGACCAGGTCAGAAAGTTAATAACGATAATAAGCTGATGATGATGAAGATGATGATGATAATGACGACGATGATGATAATGATAATAACAATAATAATAATAATTGAAAATGTTTACACAGGATAACCACTTCAGTTATAAAACTGATATCAATGTGGGCCCTGTAAAATAAAACAAAGATGAAATTATTATATTAAAATAGATAAAAAGGGAGATTTAAAAAATGGTCAAAATACGGAAAATACTAAATATAATTACACCCTTGAAATAAAACGTACGTTTTGCAGCTTCTATCCTAATGTTATCGATAAAAAGATTAGTACTACCTCTAGTAAAAAGAGAATGTATGTCACTACGTCCTGTATTAAAATAGTTTTTAAATAAATCCGGAACATGTTCCTTGAGGCACTTATTAACAAGTTCTTTTGTATGCTCCCCCACGTCTCTCAGAGAGCGGGATCTATATTGGTATCACTCGTCACTTCCTGAGTGTTTTTGAGGGTAGCTCTCCTTTGCAAGAGTTCTATCTCCAGTGGATTCTCGTGACCACAGCCGTGCCAGGTGACATCACAATACTCAAGAAGCGGCCAGATCATTGCTTTATAGAGGCGATTCGCAGACTCTTTTGTTAAGGTTACAGTATACCTTCGGGTCGGCAATTTTCTTCAAATTTGGATTTTTGGGTCAAAATAGTGGTCGAAGAATAATCTCTAATTTCTGAAA